GACCGCACTCTAATTTCGCGCAGTTTGCCTGAAGTGCTGTCAATATTGATCGTCCTCTTTCAACTTGACATCGAAACCAAGCCCGTCTCCATCTCTGACTTTTTCAAACTTGCCTAATTAATAAATATATGCATTCTTTCTTGCAATTATTATTTGAACCTAAAATAATAAATTAAATATCATAAATTGTCCCAGTTTTATTTAAAAATTAATAAATCTATCGATTTTATGACACTTTTAATAATATAATTAAAATTTATTAAAAATCCATCTGTAAATAAGAAATGAGTAATTAATTTTTGGTTATTTATATTAAATAGGCAACACCCATCTATTCACATTAAATATGCATTGACACCTACCACACGCAATACACAAAATATTTGACAGAAAAAAATGGCCAAAATGTCATTTACAAGAGTGGTGGGCGCAAAATAAGTTCCTGCCACCACGATGTTGAGCAGCACCGCTTTTTTGACAGAAATGCTCCCATTCCTTAAATTCCTCAACTTTTTTGGATGGCTCCCGATGAAAAACAACCCCGTTTCAGGAAAACCTGTCTTCAGTTTTCAAAAAATTAAAATTATTTACTACTTAATTTTACACACTATGAATTTTCTCATCAACACTCGAACTGCAATGTCCGTATACTGGGTGAGTTTCTTTTATAATATTTATGTAAAAAAATTATTAAAACGGAGAGTTTTTCAGGCAGTGCGGAATTCAACAGAGTCGTTTCCATTTTTTAAAATAATTCAATTGTTCGGAACTATTTTCGGCGGAATGGTGTCGACTTTTTTCTTGCTGCAAAGCAAATCAATTTTGAAGTTTTGTGATCGTTTCTCCATATTGGAGGTTTGATTTTTTCTCTTTTTTATATAAAATAATAATACTCCTCCTGTTATAGAAAAATTTGAGTCGAGCCATCATCAGAGGTGGTTTGGCCGCGCCGAGTTTCAATTACAAACTAAAAATACCCATATTTGGTCAGCTTTTTTTCTCTCTGGTGATGTGGATACTTTTCTTTTTCGTTTTTCCACAAATGGTCCAAGTCAGTCCGTGGTATTTGCGATACACAACTGCGATTGCAGTTTCAAACTGCGTCATAGCCACGACGTGGTGGATGTGCATGTTCAAGGGAATCGCCGTTTTCGCCAAAAATCTACCAAAACAATTTGAGGTTGAAACGTCAAATTTGCATAAAAAAAATATCTGTTAATATTTTAATAGACCCTCATTAGAATTGTGCGAACCGAGGTGGAGGAAAAATCAATCGCGGACGCCTTTTGCAAAATAGCGATTGACATGAATGATATTTTAAGCAGTGCTGGGAGCGTTGCCTCTGCTGCCATGCTGGTCCCTCCAGTTACAGGTAATTTGCTTAAAACTTGAATTTTGAAAAAATAAAACACTGTTTATTTAGGTTACGCAATTACCCTATTCGCAATCTACGAGCTTGCGGGGTCGGCGTTGGTTTTTGAAAAAATCACCTTCCTTCTTTTTATGGCGTGCACGGCAATGGTGTTTGTCACTTTTCAATTCGAACAATCCAATCACGCATCAGCCCAGGTTTGGTCCACTTAAATTTTTTCACAATTTTACAATAAAAAAATTCAGGTGCACAAATTTAGCATCAGGATGACGCAACTGACGCATCAATTAATCCGAGACAGGAATACCAGGCATGAGGTGTGTTAATTTAAAAAAATTTGATATGTAAAATTGTAACTTTTATTTATTTATTTATTTAGGCTTTGCAATTTTGGGCTTTGATGACAAAAAAACCAACCCACGTAACATTTTACCGCTACATTACCCTCGGCAGACGATTGATTTCTCGAAGCGCATATCAAATGTTATCCATGCTCATAGTACTTTTTCAAATCCACGTCAAGACAGAGTCGCTGTTGTTTGAAGACTTTTTTAAGGTTCAAGAGAATGGCAAATAAATTTTTTTTCTAAAATTTAAAAAATAAAATATTTGTATTATCCGAAACAAAATGAATTGAGAATATAAATTAATCTTTGGAAAATTATCCGTGATGGCGATTTAAAATTTATATTTGTAGTTCATTTATTATTCATTATTGTCTCTCATGCTGCGTATTTTGGTGCACAAAAATCATTAGGTCGATTGTTTGGTACACATACCTAGTTTGTTTCAGTGTCGCGCAAAACTCGGTCAACAGTAAATCCGAGTAAATCAATCTTTCATTATGTCTGAAAACCGAACTTTCGTAGCTGAATTTTCAGCATTTTTAAATTTTGCCACTCTTTCTTTTCTCTGCTGATCGTTCTGATTCACTTTGATATCAAAACTGTACATCTATCATAAATTTGCGGACTTTTTTCACATGTAATTTAAAAGAAAATTTATGACATAAAAATTTAGTTTAGAGAAGAATTTTACTTTCTAACATATTATGAATTATTAATGACAGACTTCCCTAAACTATATTTACTTTGAACAAATGTAAACCTCTCGTTGTAACCTGAATTGAAGTCTGATAAAAATTTAAAAAGAGCATCGGTGGTGGTAAAATTGGATTGTGTTATTCTTTATATAATATTCATTAATTGTTGCCTCATTTTGCTTTTTACTATATCATGTTGCGTATTTTGGCATTTCGTTTGATGGGCCGCCCAATTTGATAAATTGCTGGCCCTAGTCATAGAGGCGCGCAGAAGTCTTTCTCCGCAGTAAATCAATCTTGTTCGTGCAATCCGAAGCCATCATGTCCGAAACCCGAACTTTCGTTGCTGAAATTTCGGTATTTTTGAAATATCTCAACATTTTCGGCTGGTTGCCCACAGCCCGTGATTCAAAATCGAATCTTTTAGTTGAGAATTTGCCAAAATTCAAAATTCTGTGTTACATAACAATTCATATTGTTAGCATCTCGTCTGCAATACGCTGTGCCGTTGCAGGATATTTTGTAAGTAAATTTTTTTATTAAAAATCCTTTTTTTAAAAGCAATTATTTTTCTTCATATTTTAGTCGATACAAAATTATTCTGGCGGAAAATTTCCAGTTTTCAAATTCGTACAAATTTGGCTCTCGTCTCTCGGCACTCTCGTTCCAATCGCGTTTTTGCTGCACAGAAAATCAGCGTTGCTATTTTGTGATCGTTTTGCGGAATTGGAGGTATGGATTTTTAATGATAACTTACATTTTTACCGCTTTCTCCTTTTCCTAGGCCCAAATGCATCGAGTGTTCATCGGCAGCGGATCAACAATGAAAAATTTCACCTACAAATTGAGACTCCCTATTTTAATTAAAATATTTTCTGCCCTACTGATTTGGCTGCTTTTCCTCGCAGTTTTTCCTCAAATGGTTCAAATCAGTCCGTGGCACGTGAGATTCTCAACGGCCATGACCATCTCCAGTGCCATCATTGTTGTGGCCTGGTGGATGTGCATGTTCGGGGCCATCACTGTCTTTTCCAAGCAGCTGCCAATCCAATTCAAAGTGTGTATCATATCTGATAAATTGTAACGAAAATTTATATTTTTTGTAGGAAATTTCAAGTAAAAAAAGAAACGAAGCGTCTAGGAAAATTATAATGGATTCCTTTCGCAAAATGGTGCTCGAAGTCTGCGTACTTTTGAAAGACAGTGGCGGAATCGCTCCCGTTGCAACGATCCTTCCTTCATTAATTGGCACGATTAAAATTTCAAAATTCATCAGAAAAATGAAAATCTCAATCCAGGGGTTTCGATGCTGCTTTTTGTGATTTACGAGCTTGCAGGATCTGCTACTGATGAATTGGAAAAAGTTTCATTCCTCGTATTCATAGGCGCAATTTGTATCACTCTACTTACTTTTGAATTGGAACTGGCGCACCGAGCCGCCAAACAGGTATGATAATTTAATTAATAGTAAGAATTATTTTTTATTTTCTAGGCCAATTTAGGTGAAAAATATCAGCGCAGAAATGGCGTGTTTGACGCAAAACTGGGCGATCCAAAGTGGCAACGAACGAGAGGTTAATATTTTTATATTTTTAAAATTTAAAACTTTACCATTTGGCATGTTGTTAAATTTCTCAGGAAATGTTTTTCTGGACCCGGATGTCAAATATGAATTATTCGGTGACGTTTTGCGATTACATAACAATAGACAGAAGGCTTGCAACACTCTTGGCTTTTGAAATGTTCTCTCTGCTGATCGTTCTGATTCAGTTCAATATCAAAACTGCGCATCTCACATTTAAAGACTTCTTCGATATGTAAATTAGAAGAAATCCTGCGTAATTAAATCAGAGAAAACTGACGTAAAAGAAAAAATACTTATTAATAAAAAAAATCACTTAAATTTGGATCCAGATATTTAAAATCTAAAAAAAACCCCACCCAAAAACAAAATTGTAAAAATTTTAAAAAAATAATTTTTTGTTGTTGTTTATTCAATTTAGTTTTTTCTTTTTTAATCCACAAATTAATTTTTATTATTTTTTTCCAAACATTTGCAGCTAAATTACCTTTTATTTATATTCTTTGAACTGATTTCTGAGTAAATAAAGACAAATCAGTCTGATCATTCTAGTCTTTCTCTGCGTTCGGATATTTTCATTCTAACTGATAGAGTGAATTATTTTTATTAAAATGAGTCTCAAATTAAAAAAAAAATCTGGATGACTTTGCAATTTATTTTGCTGGTGAAGGGGAAAATTTCCTTATTCCATAGCGGATGGAAACTTAAATTATTATAACAAAAAAAAATGCAAATTTTCTCCTTTACAAAACCTGACATAAACCATCTTTTTTTTACATAAAAAAAATTATTTAAAAACTGATCGTCTATAAAAACTCCTGTTCATTAAATTTTACCTAAAGAAAACGCCTCGTCAATCATTTATTTCTTATTTCCTCTTCCTTTTCTCTTCATTATGTCAATGGAGAGGCCAATTCCCCTCGTTTCGCGCCAAATGTGGCAAAAATCGATCACGTGATCTGCCTCGACCAATGGCAGAGCTGCAAAGCGCCGCAGCTGTTTTTGTTGATTGATAATTCCAACAAATTCCAAGTCCAAGCAGAACAAATTCAGTCGGTTTCGCGAGTTGTTGGTCCGCGATGCGCCTCTTCGCGGCCCTTTGCATCCGTTCCAAGGGCCCTCCTTTGAGACCGGCCGTCGGCGACCTGACCCTGAAGTACTCGAACCTGCCCGAGAGGTACGTGCGAAGGGCCATGCGGCAGATCGAGTGCCAAACTCCCAAGGGCAAGCCGCAGTACCTCAACCGGACGCGCGAAAGGGTGATTTTCAAGTAAGATTTTAATAATGAAAATTTCAAAATATAATCAAATTATTAATTGATAAAAATCTGTAGATTTTCCGAGCACCGGCCGTGGACGCAGGAATTCCACCAGGACAACATGCTGCACAAAAAATTCTCACGTGATCTGATCGAACCCGTGGCCGAGTGGAGCTTCTTCAGAGGAGACAGGGTCGAGATCCTCGTTGGAAAGGACAAAGGTTTATAAAATTATTTTAAAAAAATTCGGTTTAATTGTTTCTCTTCTTTTGAAAAGGCAAACAAGGAATGGTGTCGAACGTTTTCCAAGAGAAAAATTGGATCATCGTCGAAGGCCTCAACACCGAAATCAAAATGATGGCCGCGGACGAGAAGTTCAACTTCCCTGGCATTGCCACCCGATGGGAGAAGCCGCTCTTGGTGACCTCGGAGGTCAAACTGGTCGACCCGTCCGACTTGAAAAGCACCGACATCGAGTGGAGATTCACCGAGGAGGGAGATAAAGTGAATCATGAAATTTCTAATCTAAATTTTTTACTAATTTTTTTCTAATTGAAGGTCCGAGTAAGCATGAGGACGGGACGGATCATCCCCATTCCTCCGATGGCCGAGGAGACTGTCGACTACAAAACGAAGAGTTCGTATAGAGAAGGCGACAAAGACACCCATCCAGACGACCTAACCAAAATCACCTTCGAGCCGAAACTCTGCACGTTCGACATGGAAATCGCAGACAAAATGGGCATCAAGGAAGACCGAGTTGCAGCAAAGACGTATTGGTACTAAAACTCAAGCAAAATATGATGTACCACGAATCTGCATTTTTGTACATAATTGATGTTTAGTCTAAATAAAAGGAAAATCATTTGAAAAAACGCAATTTCTCTAATCGATAATCAATATTGGATTAATTAAGTAATGTACTGGAATTTATTTATAACTAGTGCTTAATTAATAACAAATTATCACTGTAATTATAGAAGAACTAGATTTCTCAAGGTATGCATTCATAGATGATCGATCAATATTTTAACTAAACATAACTTCCAAATATTCTCATAATTATATGAAATAATTTATAGCATTTTGTGTATATGAAGACAGTCTTACAATGCATAATTTATTTGTTTAATTGAATAATAAATTTTAAAATTTTCTGTTCGCCTTTTTTTATCCCGTTTAATTTGGTTTAATTGAAATGTCAGAAAGTTTCAGACGCCACTAACATAAAAAATTATGTAATAATAATTTATTCACCTTTTCTGTACAATTTGACAAATTTGATATGTAAAGCGGAAAACGGAAAGGAGGTGCGATGGAAGGTCGAAACGAAGGCACGGAAAATGTAAAAATTATGGCCCGGCTTGAAGAAAAGTTGCGGATATTATTTTGTCCTACCTTTGACCGGACACGCCGGTAGTGTCCTAGGTCTTGCTGGGGTCCTCGGCAGGTCGGCAAAACCCTCCGTCGACGCAGAATTACCTGGAGACACCGAAGCACGACACATTGTTTTTGCACACAAACTAGACAGAAAAGTCAGAAACGTAATTTCAGTCAAAATCTCATAATTTTCCTGCTGCCTCTGCTCGCTCTGGCTGCTGCGGCCAATCGGAGCTCAAAATATACGAAAGCGAACAAGTCACGACAGCGATTGAATCTGCCGAACGCGTTGTTGCAAAGGAATGCGACAAGCTTGATGCGTTGCTTGATTTATCGTAAACTCGGTCTCACATTTTTGTATAGAGTTTAAATAAAAACGCCAAATAACCAAATTATATGGTTTAAAATCTCTACAAGGAGAGCAGGGTTGGACCATTGTAAAATTTTTTGACGTTTCGCTTATCAATTCATCATGATTTGAGAGGTAGCAGAGCAAATTGATGTAAAAAATAATTATAATCTGAAAAAAAAAATAGAAAGGCTAATGTTAGTTAAATTGTTACTGTGCACACAATAATTGCAATAAATTATTTTAACGCCATTTTCTTTGGTTTACATTTTTGAAATTATTATTTTTGGAAAATTAATTGTGATAATTTTAACCCTTGGTGATTTTTCATTCTTTTGTAAAAATAAACGAATGAATAAAAATTAAGGGCTTCAAATTATAATTTACATGGTTTATAATTATTGAAATAATTTATTCTTCTTGTACATACTAAATTATCAAAGAACAAAATAATTTCATTAATTTACTATAATGAATTTTTTATTGGCTGCCGCATATTATCAGTGTAGAAGATAATAGAGAAAGAGAATGGAAAAATGAAGCATGATAAAATTATTTTGAAACTAAGAAATGTGAAATAAAAAAAAGAGGACAAGCAAAATTTTAAATAGATAAATAGATGTTCATATTATCTGATATTATCCCTTTTCATTATTATCTTTTCTTCCTTCCACTAGGAAATAATGAAGACGCAGCGAAATTCACGAAATTTACTTTTGTTTGACGTTTGAATTTTATTTGACGAGTTTCATTGTCAGAGGCAATGTGACGACATTTCCGAGCATGTGATTTTGCCTTTTGGTGTTTTAATATAATTGTAGGCTTTTGCTCCTGCGTGCCTGATGCTGCGCCGGCGGCATATGTTCAGGTGGTGCCACGTGCGCCAAAGTCTCGAGGCAGGTTTGTCCTTATGGCCGCGCGCGTTGCTGATTGCCAATTAGTGCCACCCGCGCTAGCTGCACACAATGCTTGCCTCTAATTATGGCAATTCACGTGACGCCATGCAAATTTCCTCCTTTCCGATATTACAAATCAAAACAACTTGAGCTTCAATCTCAAGAAAGCGACATTTTTTATCGAAGGAAAATCAAAAACAATTTTATTGCTACTGAAACCTTTTTTGCAAAAACTTGCTCAAAGGGAAGCTAAAAGTAAGCAGCATAATGAAATAATGGATTCTTTTTTTATTAAATCTTAAATTTTCAATTTAAAACAACAAAAATATTTGGTCGAGCATTCACAATTTTATGTCAAAAAAGAAAATCAATTTATTTTCGGCCAAAATTTATATAACCAGGATAATTATAATATTATAAAATAATGAATTATAAATGCGAAAGTGCGAAACATTGGTTATAAAAATCATGCTCGAACAGAAGAAACCACAAAAGTTTGTTAATTTAATCTTTTCAGTTCAATCTTGTGAAAGAAAATCCTCAAATTGGTTTAGAATTTTTCAGATTTATGCAAAGATTGATTTGTTAATTAATTTCTAGAAAGTCTGTTTCAAGATATTCGTAGTAAAAAAAGTAATAGTAAAAGCAGGTTAATTAATTTCTCCCTTTGCTCAAAATAATAATTTGAAAGCAAGATTGGGAAAAGAAGTATGTCACTACATTATACAGTGAAGTATGGATGTAACAGGAATTTAATTTCCAGTTAATAAAAGTTTGAAATGAAAAAAAACATAAATTAGAATTATTGTCTCACATTTTCCTTCTCACAATCAGTCAGGTGCTTCGTCGCGTGAGCATCACGTTGCTCCCACTTCGCCCCATTTCCAGCGTGGAAAATGTTTCTCGCAAGTAAAGTACTACGATTGTCACCTTCATCGTACCCACAAAGGGGAATACGATACATAAGCCGCAGCAAATTATTTATTTAGTTTACCAGGTTTCCCTGAAAAGTCAAAGGGTGAGCTGAGCACTCGTAGGTCAGTACGAGGAAAAATTTTTACTTGGTTGTTCCAGATCAAGGAATTGAACCTCTGCTGGGACTGCGGCAACTTTTTTGATGGTCAGCAGATATACCTGGAATCAAGATGACGTACATCATGGCACGGAATGAAATTCATGATATCAACAGAATATCAGCAGGAAATTAAAATTACAAGAATATTAATGCCGTTCATTTGAAACTAACACGGCCGTGAAACATGCAGATTTTTATTTCAACAGGTAAAAGTTTATCCAGAATGTTTATGTTTGGGTTGTATTTCGTCACCATTAAAGGAAAAAATAGCTCACGTGCTGAGCCATTCGCGCGGAATTATTTCCATCACATATTTTTCATAAATAAATCCTAAGAAGGGGTCAAACAGAGAGTGTATGTGACACTGGCAAAAATAGCACAGGGTTCTTCAATCTTTAATAAAGTTAATATATCATACCTCGTCCGCTCCAAAATAGAGTTTTCGCGAATCTAACTTTAGGAGGAAAATCAATAGTACGGCCTTCAGCTGGAGTAGTTTTTTTTCTCAATAAATAAATAAATAAATAAAAGGAAAAATCGAAAAATGAAATAAATCTCCACTAAAATGAATGTAAACGTATTGAAATAATAAAAAAGCACGCATAACGTGGCTGATTTTTTCACTCTTTTCTTCAATATGTAAAAATATCAAATTTAATATAAAATTAGAACAAAAAAATGATTGCAAATTAGATTTTCATTGCAATGTGGATCAAATAAGACAAAATTAAGTCAACAAAGGACACAGAAATAATAAATAATGAAAATCTATTTGAACCATTAACTATTGAATTTCAAAATAAAGCTTGAATTTGACTTGCAATTGGTTTATGCAAAAATTCTCATTCAAGCCAAACAGCGCGCGGTAGGCCGTTCTGATATCCCAAACGGTTTTCTGTACTTGGATAAAAAAGTTTTGATGACCTTAATTGAAAACAATTTTGATTCGTACACTTTTGTCCACTACGAATTGAGGAATGCATTTGAAGATATTTATCTTAACAATTATGTGTAAAGAATTAGGTTTGTATGCTTTTAAAAATGTCAATGCGTGATTTCCCTTTTTCGTACAGTATTTTTATGCGATCCGGTAAATGGAGAATAAATAAATAAATCAACACTCTGCAAAAAACTTGTCACGGTAACAGTTGTGCAAGCACGCAATCAACAACAGCTTGAAAAGTTACGACGACTCGAGCAAAAAGCATGCCATATAATAATAATTATATATCTCTTAAATCAGAGCGTCACACGATTTGTGGAGAGCGTCATTTGCATTTCCGCGGTGATGAAGTAGTAAGGAAAATTATTAATTATTTTAATAATGAGATTTTCTCAACTCGTGCATGTGCTTTTTGTCCGAGGTTGGGGTGTAAACCAGGCCAACCCCACAAGGAATTGAAGTAAAAATTATTGGGACTTGCTGACGCAAAGGTACAGAATCCATTTTCTACCCCAGGAGAGATTTCTCAGGGGTAAGTCATCGTCAGGACAGGGCTGTGTGTGTCCCAAGGGCCGATACAGTTACGGACAATTGGGGCTTTGAGATTACTTCTCATGCACGCACGCCACAATTATTATTCATATCCATATCAGATGTTTGATTTTATACCTTTATATAATTAACTGGGGCATCGAGAAAAAACACTGACGTACTAAAGTCGCAAATTTGTTGCGTAAATTTCCAGCTCAATTTAATTTAAGAATAAGATTTTCGCGAACTCAATCAAAAGCCAATTAATTGACGCTCTTGGGTACACAAAAGTTGAAGAAATTAAAAACTCTAAAATTTTGGCTAAATCGAGGTGGTTTGACCCGTTTCAAAAATAAGCTATTATAAGACCAGATATATATTACTAAAGAAAAATAAAAACAAAAATTCATAGATTCATTCAAGAGATGAAACAAATAAAAGTAATATTTCCTTACGATTTAATAAAATTGGAGCCAAGTCATGTCTATAGATCAAATTTTAATTCAAAGGAACCAAATATAGTAAAAAACGATGAAGAAGAAAATTATTCTTCATGGAATTACATAAATTATGGTGCTAATTGGTAATGAAAATATTTATTTATGCCAGATTTTAAAATATGAAATTTATCTCTAATTTGCTAATTTAATTGTAAAGAATCTTACTTAAACTGAAACTGAGATTTAATTTGGCAACACAAGAACATGAGAATAATATTTTCTGGAAAATTCTATTTCCAAAATTAATCCATGCCACTTGTGCCAAAAATATATTCAATTTTGAGTATAAATGCGAAGCGCAACAAGTCAAACGCCAACAAAGTCTCACGCAGAGATCACGCCAAGGATGCTGGGGGGTGAGGGTGGCGCGCATGACTCGCGCCCTCCCAAGCAAGCGATTCCGCCTGCACAAGTAGAAAAGCACCCTGTCAACCCTTGCCGGCGTCAGACGGTGCCATGCAACTGACGTGGTTGTTCGCTCTACTGGCGCCGATCGGCGCCGTCAGTGTCGTCGCCAACCTCATCACCCTCAGCATGGCGCTGATCGACGCCTTTGATGCCGCGGCGCCGCGAATTTGCACCAACAACCGCATCTTCCACAGCGTCCTGACGGCCAACCAAGCGTTGGCGGCGCTGCTTTTCGGCGCCGCGCACGTCGTCGCCACCCTCGGCTCCTGCCCGGCCGCAGTGGACCTACTTGTTGAAATTTCCACCCTCGGCACCGCCTTCAGCATCACCCTGATCGCCACCGACCGTTTTCTGTGCGTCACGCTGCGCTCCCTCCAACCGACGCTGGCGTCGACGCAGCGGCGCCGCGCCGGCACGGCCGTCGGCGCCTTCTGGCTCACCGCCTTCGCCCTTCCGTGGGCGCCGACCCCTGAAATTTGGAAACCAATCGTGGTGGCGGTTGCGCAGTTCGCCGTGCCGGCGCTGGCGCTGCTCGCAGCGCAACTCAGCGTCGCGTCGCGTCTGCGCAAGCGCAGACTGGCCAAGACGAACGCGTTGCTCACCATCAGCGTTGTGCATTTCGTCACCGGCTTCGCGTTGCCGACCGCAGCGCTGGGCATTCCGACGCTGACGCAGGTGACGCACGCGTTGTGCGTGGCCAACGCGCTGCTCAGCCCCTTCGTCTACGGATGGATGTGCAAACCGATCCGCAAACGCATGCGGCGCCTCCTGACGGCGCCGAGCGCCTACTTTGCCTGCAGGAGGAAGGAGCGGCAGTGCCTCAAGACCATGACCGGCGCCGACAAACAAATGCACGTTTACATAGTGTCCGTGCCGTTGGGAATTTACGTGTGAATGTGAAGGACTTTTGCTCACCTTCGATCTCTCAAAATCCCAACAGGCTCAAAGGAAAAGCTGCAAAATCAATACAATCGTATTATTTTTACTCAACGCGCAGAACAACTGTACTTACAAAGTGTCCGCAAACGAATCTATTTAATGAGAGGAAAATTTTTATAAATTTTAATGCATTCAAAATATTATAGAAATTTGCTTCCCATTCAATTGGGAAAAACACCAGAAGGGCTCATTTTTAAGCAAAATAAGGGCGCAAGAGTTTCACATTTATTTAATTTCCAACAGCATCGCATAAAAAAGTACCAAACGCCAGAATGTAATGATATGGGCCAATATTATAATGGAATTGAACTCAATTTAAAACTCTCAAAATCAGCATAATTATAGAATATTGAGGTTAAAAGTCTGTATTTGACAAAAAAAATTAATCGACACATTTAAAATTTGCAAGAGCTTATGATTCGAATCAGGTTTTTATAGCTTTTAATTATTTTATTTTATGTTCACGCACATCTTATTTTATCACATTTACGTAGCCGTGTCCAATATTATTTTAATATACCGAAGCACAATTTAAACTTCAATCGCCAGTCTGGAAGCAAGGGTCTATTTTTGTGATATAAAAGAAATGATAATATTTGCTACGATCTCATGTATATTTATAATACAGGGTTTGCCAAAAAATGCAAATTATAAATTGTGCTAAAGACTGAATTATGTGCTTAATTAATTATTTGTAAAAAGCTATTCCGTCGTTAAGATGATTTTGTAAAGTTTTGCAAAAATTTCTTGGCAAGTGTGAATTTACTTGTACAATTGCCTGAATATATTGATCAAATTCAGCTACTGAATACTGTGAATGTGCATCTTTTGCGAATAAAATACGCCAATGAAAAAAATCTTGGTATTTATTAAAAATAAAAGTGCCTTTCTAGAAATTTCCATTACGCAAATTCAAGATAAAGCATAAAAATTCCTTGATTAAAAATCGTGACAATTAAATAAGCCACGTTTTCAACTTTCATTATATTCGCCGGAAAAGTTCACACGTGCAAAGTATTTATTTAAAAAGAGATGAAAAACTCTAACGCACGTGACAATAAATATTCATGCAGATTTGATCTGAGCAACTGCGTCATCAGTATAATTACGGCAGGGACGCGATTCAATGACCTTCGAGAATTAACAAATTTGCTTTATAGACTTGAAGCCACCGCGGGAGTCCTGTTTTGTCTGCGTGTTCGGAAGTCGCAGGCTTTGATTTGCATTCAATGGGGGTTGTTTAGCGTGTCTTTGAAATTTGTTTCGATAATGACATAATCAAACTTAATCTCGGCTGGCGGACCTTGAACCGAGTCACCCTGTCCGTTTCCACTCATATTGCAAAATGACTTTAATTGTTCTCGTAATTCATACTTGCTTTTCAGAATACATCTTTTTTTTATATATATTTTGAGAAAATAGACAGGTAGTGATGTTTGCAGCAGGTTTCCATTTCCACGGAGGAAGTCACTGCCGCATCATTTTTTTTTTTATCAAAATATAGAGAAAAAAAGCTCTATTTCAATTGAATTATTTAATTCATTTTTCCGTTTAAAATTGTTTATTTTGAGAAATTAAAAATAATATTTAATGGAAAAGTCATTTGCTTTTTTATTGGAAATAATACCAAATTCATTTTTTTCTCCTCACGAATACATAAATTAACAATAAACTATTATTTGTACATAGCGAGAAAATTTTGAGGAAATAAACCGTAATACTTGCGAGGGCATTTCCAGCCCTAGATTAATCACAGCAGAAAATAAAGAGACCGCTAATTGCTAACTAGACGGAAGTCGTCTTGAAATGTATGAAATTGAATGATTAAAATGTCGCTAGCTCGGTCACTGAACCACGAGCAACCCTAGAGCGACTAATTGCAGGCCAAAAATCATTAAATGAAATTTCAAAGCTTCTTTCAGCAGCCTCTGCGCTCCTCTTTTCCGCGCGTTTCCGGGATAATCCATTAACCCGCCCGCGCAAGCAGTTGCGCTGTTTTCCTTACGTTGTGCGGATTAGCAGAAACGACACTCACGTCTCAAGTGAAAAATTGAGGACGTCAAGAAATGATATGATTCTGCCCTCGTTTGTCTCATGACACAAATTTTTGCCGATTTTTAGCGTCTGTCTAGCCAGAGAAGAGCAACCACTTATTTTTTTGGTGCCACCTCAATCCCAAATAATTCGCTCTGAGTTGAATAGAAAAATTTGGGTTGTCAATTATTTTTAACTGCCCCTGCATGTACAAAAATAAAAAATCTTTAATAAAATAAATTTGAGCTTGTTTCGTAAAAATTTCAGATGAAAAGTATTTTTTTTTTTATTCTTTAAATATAGTTGATGATGATGGGTTCAAAATATATCCTATTCTGCTCTTATCATGCACAAAATTCTAAAATGCTGTTTTTTTTTTTTTTTTTTTTAATTTTTAAAGTAGTTGTCAATTTTGGATAAACCTGGTTTTGAATGTTCTTTCTGTTAAATGAAATTCGATTTTTTAACCAAATAAATCAACATTATTTTTATTCTTACCTCCAGTCAGTTTGTATTATTCACTCTACTTGACTAGCATCACATGTTCGGAGCGGCCGTTGCGCACTCCTCGAAATAACAACGCAGCTTATCCAACAACCAAACATCTATTTACGGGCAGACTAACAATCTTTTCTCATTTTTTTTTTGCCAGTCCATTAAATGGAGAAGCTTTCGCCGCAGCCACACGTGCCCTTGATGTTGGGGTTGTTGAAGACAAACTCCGAAGACAGTTTTGCTTCGACATAGTCCATCTCCGTGCCTAAGAGGGTCAGTTGCGCCTTCTTGTCGATGAAAACTTTCACACCTGCAACAGCACGGAAAAGAATGTCTTATCGGAATTTGGAGAATTTCGAAATTGTGATAAAAATGCGAAGCTTTGTCAGTTCAGAGTAAAATGTCGGATGAGGTGGAAGGACTTGATCAAGTTGTAAAGAGAAATGGCGAGTTAATTATAAGTGAAAAAATTAAAAATTTATTTTAAATGAAAATTTTGTCTCACTCAGGCAAATACATAGTTGTGCCTAAGCTTGTTTCCAAAATCGACTTCGGACCAGGCTGGCGAGCAGAAAAAAGGCAAAGTATTGCAAACGAGAACCAAGTGGCCCAAATAATCAACGAAAGTAAGTTTAAATTTTTACTCATTTTTCTTTTTAAAAACACTAAAATGTTAATATTTGTTGTGATTTCTTATTCTAGTGGAGTCTTTGAAACGACTGAGAAATCGAACAACTATAATCGAATTGGGGAAAAATCGTGGACACGGAAAATTTCTTTTTGGTCTTTTGCTGTTTTTGATTTTAATCACGTGGTTTTTCTTCTTTTAAGAAAAGCGTCCGCGTCTCACATTGAAATCACGTTAAATTGAATTGTTATCAGTATAAATACACGTTTTGTTAAAAAATTCAAAAGTCTTTCGAATTTAAAAAAAAAATTACCATCTTGGCAAACTTCCTCGTCCAATTTTTCCTTCTCTGTTGCGTAATCAAGAGTGTAGCTGAGACCATTGCAACCACGCTGCTTTACTCCGACACGCACCCCTATCTGTGGATAAACGTAAAAATTTTACTAAATGTTGCAGATTTAAACATCTCAAGTTCTTACGAATTCTTTTTTACTCTCCAGGATTTCCTTAAGCTTATTCACAGCACTCTGCGTCTGCAACAGAAAAATTAGATTTCAAGTCACAATAAAAATTCTAAAAAAAAAGTGATAGAAAATGCATAATCACTTCGAAGGGGCAATTTTCTGAATTAATTGGATCTCATCACAGGCCGCCATTGAAATCAGATTAAAATCTAATTTGAGTTTGACAAGCGAAATGCATTTTAAATATTGCAATCTGCTAAATTAGAACTGATCAATATAAATAGCCAGTTGTGCAAGCTGAAAAAACCCGTATAGTTGCATGTTTTCAGGAAGTCAATATAATTAAAACTTTTGATATTGGTTTTATATTGGTGCATCGAAAGAAATAAATAGCTGAGCATGATGCAATCCATACGGGGATGGTTGTGGTTTTTTCGTGACTGAATTTGTAGTTCTCAGCCTTGAGAAGAAAAAAAAATGTCCCCTCACCTGAGGGAAAAGTACGAGTGGTGATTTTAATTTTATCGGTACGTAAACATTTGATTGGAAATGTTTTTCATTTCAACTTGGTCTAAAAAGAAAGTTAATTTAATATAAATCAATAATTTTTTGTTGTCATTACATAATCAAAAAAGTAATAATTTACCAACACAAGGGCAGCCCTCTGAGGAACGAGCTTGCGACCTTTGACGGCCCTGACGGTGGCGGTGCCCACCATGCGTGTCACGGAGGAGGACATTCTCGGTGCTCAGACGGACGTCATCGTACTTTGAATTTTGCGAATTTCTCGAATTCAATAATTTTTGAGGAAATGCGTTGTTGTTATTGCACACCAGGCTGTGTGTGACGGAGGTGGGCGTGGTCAAATCACTTCTTGGGCATCGCAGTTCGACGAGACCCGTTAGGTGGCAGCATCTGTAACAGTTAAAGAGAGACTTGCAATTTTTGTTCCAAGACAAGCAACAGAAGACACGGAAAAGGCAAAAACAGTCGTTAAGTCGGTCAAGAGTTGAGAAGGAAAGCGGAAAAAAAACAGACCAGTTCAATTATGTCGAGTAAAGAGACAAAAAAAAATTACTTTTATACTCATTTTTTTATTAAAAAAGTGAATAAAATAAAATTATAATAAATAAGATTAATCAGACATTATCATTAAAATTTAAATAATAATAAGTTTAAAAATGTCCAAAATATTCTCGTAAATTCTTTGAATCAGAAGTAAATAATACAATTTAAATTAATTTGAATTTTAAGTTTGAATGAAAAAAATTATATTATTTACAGTAAATTTTGTATACATTATTTAAAAATGTTTATTAACTTTTTTTGCTGAAAAAATTATTTCATTTTTTTTTTTAATTGAATTGATTTTTAAATAATTTCATTTGTTTTCACCAATTCTTTTTGAGCAATTAACGGAATACATGTATCTTAAATTGTCTTAAATCTTAAAGGTGTAGAATTGCCATCGCCACGATTACAAACATTTCGAAACTAGTTCAAACTAAGCGCAGCTCGCACTCTCTCGCCTTTGGCATTATTTTTTTTTTGCACGAGGTGCGCAATCCAGCCCGTGTCGCAGGCGGCTCTCCTCGATTGTGTTGCGTCACACGTACATACGTAGTAGTTTTTTTTTTAAGAATTATAAACTGAAGCAAAATTTGCAGAGCGCGTTAATTTGGGGCTGAAAATGGTGATTTTTCCGGCTGCTCTTGCGAGACACGCTTTCGTCAGAGCAGCGTGTGTCGTGACACGAGGCGAAGTGGGACACAGACCCTGCTTCCCAAAGTGGCTGACGTTTCTACCATTTAATAGGGAGCCCTCGTCGCCTTATATACTGCGATGCGAACCGACGAAGCGCGATTTGCATCGGCCAACCTCGGCTGAGGACGCTGACGTCACTCTTAAAGCTGCCAACAGGACGGAAATTCAACATTTATGCATTCACTGCAAATTTCAAAGAATTTATGAAAAAAATCAATTTAAAATTAATCAGTACATTTTAAATAATAAAAAATTTGATTATTGAAAGGTAAATTTGGATTTTTAAGGTAAAAGTTAATTAAGAATTTTGAGAATTTCATCCCGGTGGGTTGGTAGCAATGCAGGTCGAGGCGGAGGCCGGTTGGCGGCTCCTGCCGGAGCGCTAGTGAACTAGCCCGTCGGGTGGCGATGAGGAGCAACGAGCAGTCGTATGTCCGCCATCGAGGGCCCGAGAGGAACGTGCCTCGCGGATCCACACTCAGGCGCCAGTTCCCTTCGCCCTGATGCAGCACAGCCCACCGGAGATCAAAGATAGATTGCTAAAGGCTCTGGATTCCGAATATAATGTAAGCTGGGCGCCGACCGGGCCCCCGAGCCCCGCAAAACGGCCCAAACGCGGCCCCCTAGAAAGTCGTCTGACACAGCGTTTTTCGCAGCCGCCTTTCGCGGCTCACAAGGCACTCCGGGGGCCGGGCCGCCTCCAGCCCGCCCCCGGAGGCGGGCCCCGCCGGCGGAGAACCGGTTCGGACCCCGAGGGGCGCGATTTACCTGTCAAATTGGGCCGCAAAGTTGAAAGTGCGGAGAGATGTGGTGCGCTGGTGTCCACGGGCCTCCGACTGGCGCATGCGCACGCGGCCTCTCGCGGCCAGACGCCGAGCAATCTTGGCAGCTCTAGTACTGGCCGAGGGCCTGCCATAGCAGGACCCACGGAGCGCCACGCCACGGCCCGCCGGTCACATGCGCACGCTCGTCGCGACTCGTTTCAATTCTCTCCCGACGCAAAGAAAGATGGGGGGTTTCTTTTTGCATGGCAATGAGAATTGTTAAATTTATGTATTATTACAAAACATGGAAATCCAAAGCGTCGGAAAGAAAGACGGACAAAAAAAAAACAGTTCAAAAGTCTGAAAAGCGCTGATAAACGTCATTGAAAACTATCCTTTAATTTTTTTATTAGAAGGAAGGAAACGATAAAATGATATATTTTCAAGATAAGCTTATTTATTTCATAAAATAAAAATTTGGTATGAATTTAAAAAAATGCCGATTTTAAACATTTTTAATTACAAAAGTTATTTTAAATTAATATTATTTTCTGTTTTGCTCAGGTTGTTGATATGGGCGCCGTTTTGGAAGTCATAACAATCTTGGAGAAGACGCATATGACAAAGGAGTCCTTGGAGGTAATTCGTAAATTTGTATTATTTAAATTTTATTAAAAAAAAAAAACTTCCGTCAGGTAACACGACTGGGCAAGCACATCAATGAATTCCGACGCAAAACGAACAACGAAGCCCTGGCCAAAAGGGCCAAGGACCTGCTTCGAAGGTGGAGGAGCATGATCGTGCCAGGCGGGGGTGGCGCGGCGCCTGTGACTTCGACGCCACCCCTCGAGCCTCTTGCCACGCTGAACGGCTCCAACAGCACCAACATCACAGGACCTGGACCAGGAGGGACACACAAGTAATATTTTTTTCAGTATAAACTGTTTTGAAAAAAAAATTAAACTAAATGATAATTTCTCTCTGTAAAAAAAAAGTATTTTTGTAATATATTTCATTTTAATTTTTCCATTTCGTTATTTTTAATCTTAAATTACGTTCAACATATTTTTTAAACTAAAACTTTGTGTTTATCGTGTCAGGTCATGCAGGTCAACCCTGACCTCTCCAGCAATGTCGACGGCCAGCAGTTCGAGTCCTGGTCTGCGGCGCCTGCCTTCGGTGCCGAGCAGCCCCCAGTTGAGCCGAACCGCCTCCCCTCGGCTGGAGCCAGTCGGCCGCACACATGCCAGCAACAAACGCCTCCGGAAAGAGAATCTGGAGGGGGCGGAGGCGGCCGCCGCCTCAGGTCCGACCCCAGGGAAGCAGCAGCGAGTCAACGGCTGCTGCACTAAAGAAAGTGCCTCGATCAGCCCCCTAGTGCCTAACCTAGACTTAGTCAAGAAGAGCAAGCACAGCTCAAGCAGCACATCAAGCTCAGCCTCCACCTTGCAGCCTCCACCGCCTCCGGCCTCCACATCATCTCTAGTCGCAGACACTGATATTGTCAAAGTAATTTTGGAAATTTCACAGAGACCCTTCTTGACAGCAAATTAGCCTAAAATTTTGTACAAAATGGTCTCATAAGTTCCGTTCAGTATTTCATTCACAGATTAAGTAAAAAAATACAAAATATTTAGAAATGAACTGGAAGTTGCAGAAAACTAAAAAAATTATACCTTCTGCAAAATCATCCACCTAAAGCAGATAAAGATAATTTCAATTATGACTTTTTTCTTAAAAAAAAAAATCTAAAATTTAGGCCAATTTGATCATTTCGTTTGAACTCTCTTTTCTAACACTCTGGTTTTCTTCAGGCCAAGATGGCGCAGATGGGTCGGCGCGTCAAGACCACGCAGGAGCTGCTGCAAGACCTGAAGCATCGTGATGGAGGCGGCAGCGTCGTCGCGCTGACGGCGCCCAACACGGACGCCGACGACTTCCGCCGCAGCAAAACCGAGCACCTGGCCAAATTCCTGAACTCGCAGGCCGAGAACGAGCGACCAGTTGCGCCCCCAAAGGTGGTTCCCGAGGTAATTTTGGCCCCGGGATCGCCAACCACGCGGCGGGTTGCCGAAATCTTGTCCTCGCTGCCTCCGATCGACCTGTCCGTGCTGGAGGAGGACCAGGAGGAAGAGGAGCCGCCCCCAGAACGCAGCCCCCAACCGCCTCCGGAGGCTCTGATCGAGCAGGTGCTGGCCGGCGACCCGATCGAGGGGGTCACGGGCACCCGGGAGGAGGAGGAGGGGGAGGGTGACAAGACTGAGCAGGCCTTCAAGGAGTGGCACGAGCCCGTGTGGCGCCGCTCGTACGACGCGAAGCCGTTCCTTGTGTGGCCGTACGTGATCACAGACTGACACACCGTTGTCTGGCCGCTCCAAGCTCGCCTGTTTTGCATTCCGCGCGTCTCCTGGGGCCACTAGCCTAGATTCCTCCGCTTCTGTTTCTTTCAGTTTTACCTTTTAAGCGAGAATTTCCGTGGAATGCAATCTAGATTATCAAAAAGTGCCTCCGAAACGATTTCCACTGACAAGTCTTACACTTATCGTATAATGCAGCATTTCAAAGAAAATGAAAAAAAAAGTCAGATTATTTGTTAATTTGGAAAGGAGAGGAGATTTGTTTACCGAAAAATCGTACTTTGCACCAAAAGTTTAATTTGAATATTTTTAATCCCGAGGGCAGACATTAAATTCTGATTAGGAATTATGTGTATTTAAGGCATCCTTATTGAAAAATTGAGTCTTTACAGCAGTGATGGTTAAAATTTCTGCTCTTATTGTTGCAAAGACTTGATGACTTTGATTTTTACCACTTGCGTTGATTGGCTTTGCATTCGCACAATATTGGCATCGGCTTGTAATAATTTTGCATTTATATCGCTCGAGTGCTGAATCGCAGAAGGGCCCAAACTTTTATTTTTCTACGGAGCACACGTACGTGGTCCCAGGCGGAATCGAATCATCCATGATGTATCAATTTATATTCCACGAAATGGACATCCTAAATGCCAAAGTTGTGATTTCCAGCCGCGCGCTCGCGGCTGCTAAATTAATTAATTTGATTTCATCGAGTCCTCTTGTATCATACATTTCACTGCATTTCGTTTTTAATGAGTGGTTTGGCACGTACATGTCTCGGTTTTGATAGAAAAAGAGAGTGAGCAGATTGGTCGGTGCTGAACGAAATTAATATCATATATTCGCCCCCGAGATTGCCAACCTAGGTGTGTGTAAATCCCGAAGCCATGATTATATGCGTGTTTCGTTGCCCTCTCCAGTGTAATTGAATATGTTGTGTTTGATGTTGAATTAATTTTAGTTGATTTAAATATTAATTAATACCGATCCACAGTATATGAGTTAAAGTAGTTTTCCTCACTCAAGACGACGAAGTAAAAAAGAAGAGACGAGCCGAAGCGGCCATCGACTGGCCTGGGCTGCGCCGCTACTTGTTGAATTTAATCAACCTATATATATATAAAAAAAAATACAAAAACCACTAAAAATTGAAATATCGGTGAACAGAGTGAAAATCAAATCTTTAGAAGTGGAGCCGCGGAAATTTTTGTTTTTAATCGTCGCGCCATGGATCTAAGAGAGAAAAATTATATTCAATAAACGAACATGAATTAAAAAAATAAAAATCGTTTCATTTAATAGATCATGCAATTCTCTGGAAAATTTCCGAAAGCAACTGGTGATGAAATTTTCATCACTGATTTTTCCAGCCTGCGAATCGATCAAAGAAATGCTTTCGGCGCACACGCAGAGAGGCGAGCCTTTTGACTTTGACCGAATACGCATGTGTGCACCGGCAAGGGTCACCTTGAAGGAGTCCTACCCGCCGTGTGCGTTTATATAAGAGCCACCAGTCGAGCAACGAAAGAGGCAGCGTGAGCGGCTCGGCTGTCACAACACAAAAAATACTCAACGAATTCCAGTCTCTTCCTCAGATAACGACCCAAATTCTTATCAGCAAGGTAAGACGGAGATTTGCTGCTTTTTATCTTTACAGTCGAAATTATTGCGGCACTTTAATTTCTGCTTAAGAGAGGCGAGAGCACCGGCAATTGACGCGATCGCCGCGTCACGTACACGCTATAAACCTAAAATCTTGCGTTGTTTCTCATCGGATTATTTAAGTATATGTCATGAATTCTTCAGAAATATTTAATTATAATCTTATCTCTGTATTTTATCATTCTCGAATTTAAATTTTGACACTTTCACAAAACAGTATGGTTAAAATAATATTATAAATTAATGGTTTTTGTTAAGAATGATGAAATAAAAGCATTAAATAATTTTCTGAAATTATCTGATTCTCCTTCGTTTGAATCGTGTTTTTTTTTTTTTAATTTATTTTTCATTATTTGACACTTGCGATTTTGGCAACTAGGCACCGCGCCGCACAAGGTCAAAAGGGTCAAATGATATTAATTTGGTCTACAGATGCCCGCTTGCAGCTTAAAAATGCATGTAAAATCTAAAGTGCAGAATTTGGAAGTTCTCTTTTCTTTTCTTTTTTTAAAAATAAAACGTTTTGTAATTTTTTTTAAACATTTCAATGTGAATTGCATCATAAAATTTTCTTTTTTCTTTTCACACTTCTCATTTATTTATACGAAATATAGATTGATAATTACACATTTAAATTAAAATTTTAGGTAATTATTTATGAAGATTTTACCATTAAACGCGCTGGTGTGTACGTGCAATTTAACGTGTGTGTCTCTTTCCCATTGATTGGCGTCTCTTTTTCTGATTCACTTTCTCTGCGCGGCCTCTATTCAGCCGGAGCAAAATAATACGGCCTCCCTTCTGAAGGTGTGCCAATTTTATTTTCGCGCACTCTTTAACTGATCTGAATTCGTGCACGTCAGCAAATTTCTAAAAGTGCCGCTGTAATTGAAGATTATTATCAAATGACGCAATTTCAAATACTGTGTCGAAGATAAAATTTAATATTCATAAATTCTTTTATACCCAACAAACTTTTAAAAATGAAAGTGTAAAATTAAAAAAAAAAATCAGTCTTACTTTAAATTTTATTTTATAAGAAAATTTTATAATAACTTAATTTGCAATTGTGATCCACAGATGAGTCTCGCAGACCAGCTTATGTCATGCATCGCCGAGCCGGTGACCACGTCCGGCGCAAAAGTGTCACTTGTCGGAGTGGGTCAAGTAGGAATGGCCGCTGCTTTCAGCATCCTTAACCAAGTAAATTTTTTAATCCTATTAAAATTTATGTAAAATTAAACCTTTTTTTTAAACAAAAAAATCAGGGCATTGCAAGTGAACTTGCTCTGGTCGACATGGTGGCCGACAAGCTCAAGGGTGAAATGATGGACCTGCAGCACGGCCTGACCTTTATGAAAAACGCCAAAGTCACCGCCAGCACTGGTCAGTTCAAATTTTTTATAATGAAAAAAAAAAAAAAATAGAAATTATTTAAAAAAAAAATTAGATTATTCAATTACGGCCGGGTCAAAGATTTGCATTGTGACCGCCGGCGCTCGGCAGCGAGAGGGCGAAAGTCGTCTCAACTTGGTGCAGCGCAACGCCGAGATTTTCAAGGGAATCATCCCCCAACTGGTCAAGTACAGCCCCAACACGATTCTGCTCATTGTTAGCAACCCGGGTAAGAATTTAATCAAATTTTGAATATGGAAAATATAATTGGATCTGCCAGTGGATGTGCTGACTTATGTGGCTTGGAAGCTGAGCGGCCTGCCCAAAAATAAAGTCATTGGATCCGGAACCAACTTGGACTCGGCCAGGTTCCGTTTCCTCATGTCCGAGCGCCTCGGACTGGCTCCGAGCAGCTGCCACGGCTGGATTGTTGGTGAACACGGAGACACAAGCGGTAAAAAATTTGGATTAAAACAAATAAAAGACGATTTTTAAGATTATTAGGAATTTCAAATAATTAGAGTAAAAAATTCTAGTTCCTGTTTGGTCTGGAGTGAACGTGGCTGGTGTCAGGTTGCGTGAACTCAACCCCAAGATCGGCACCAATGAGGACCCTGAAAACTGGACACAGCTGCATCAAGAGGTGGTGCAGAGGTGAGAAAAACTTGTATTAAGTACATTTTGCTCAAAATTCAAAATAACATGATTAAAAAAAGAATGGTTAATAATTTCAATTATTATTTTAACTTGCATTTTTTCAGTAAGAATTTGTAAATTATTTACTCTTACATCATAAAATTAAATTTGTTTTTTTGCTCCATTTGGAATTTTAAAATCAATTGATTAAACAACTTTTCAGCGCATACGAGGTGATCAAACTGAAGGGCTACACTTCATGGGCCATCGGTCTCAGTGTGGCTACCCTGGTGCAGACCATTCTCAGAAACACCAACAACGTCTTTGCAGTTTCTACCCTTGTCCAGGTTTGAAAAGAATAATTTAAATGTGAATTGAATTAATTTTAAAAATGTATCAGGGTGAGCATGGAATCAACGACGAGGTCTTTTTGTCCCTCCCTTGCGTCCTGGGCGAGAACGGAGTGACCCACGTCATCCGCCAGATCCTCAAACCCGAGGAAACGGCCCAGCTGCAAAAATCCGCCCTCACCCTTAACGACGTGCAGTCCAAACTCCAGCTATAAATTTTAGCGAAAAAAAGTATTTTTTTTCTGGGTGAAATTTTTGCCTTTCCCCTCACTTGAAAGCATTTGGTTGGATCTACAAATATGAATATTTAAATTTTAAGTTCAAACACAAATTAAGGAAAATACCTCTTGCCGTAATTAAAAGTATTAAATGTGCTTTGAAATAATTTCACACCTTTCATGTGATTAATTAATCAAGTCGTCGGACTAAAAACTTTGACTAGTCTTCGCATCTCAAACTCTTCCCTTAATTAAGCTTGCCCCTTGTAATAAAATAATAATTTCTAATCATCTGTCAAATGAAAAAAACTATTTTAAACTTGTTCTATTTTGTGTTGTTATAGAAAATAAAAATAATTATTCCCATGTGAAAATGCTTTTTGATATTTTTCTCATTATTTTTACCTTTTTTATTTACAAAGTTGGGTACAGCTCTGGAGGAATGTAGGGGGTCACGTAGAGAAAGTCTTTTTCAAGCATGGCACCTGCGGAAGAATTATTAAAAAATTTCATCAAATTATTTGTATTAAATCTACCTATGATATAATCCTCTATTGATTTGAACCAAAACGTACTAATTGGAACTTGTTTCCCGTATCGATGACTGTCGCCGACAAGAATTTCCAATTTACCAAGACTGAAATCGCAATTAGTAAATTATGAATTTATAAAAATTGATGAATTACAAGAATCTGGCTTTGTTGATGCCCTGCTTGAAGCAATTCAGGTACTTTTCGCAGCCGCAGAAACCGTCGGCGCTCAGCCCTTTGAGCAGGTCTCGTCGAAGGTTGCTGAAGGCCGTGTCAAGCCGCTCTAGTTGCGACTTCAATTTTATGCTGACAGAAAAAAATTAATTAATGTTTAATTTTAATTGAAGAATGTTCTTACAGAGTATTGTACATTTTGTTGAGTTCGTCGATTTGGTGCTGCATGAAGGAGGAACTGACTCTCTTCCGAAGGACGAAATCCTCCTCCTTGCCCTGACTTTTGCTGAAAAGGTAACATTTAATTTCGCACGTGAATCAGCTAAAATCAAACTCACGCGAGATTGTGGCTGAGTCTTTTGACCAGGCCGTTGAGTCTTCTGGCACTCGCCTCCAGATCTAGCATTGCCGAGAAATTCAAATCGTCGTAGTCGCTGACACTTCGCCTCAGGTCGGCGAATTTCTCCCTCAACTCTGTCTCGGTCATCTTTTGCTTCGCCATTAATTTCCCTAAAAACTGCCTTCAAACCTTTCAAATTTTGTTCCAAAATTTAACTCTAAAATAGTATGTTTTTCGAGCTGTCTAGCTTTGTTTACTTTTTGCGTCGAGACCATGCGTCTCCCCCACCCCTTTTCTCAGACCACAGCAAAAAAAGCTAGAAGAGGAAATCGAACAAATTTCTTCCCTTGAACTTATTTGAAAATTAATTTACTTAAAAGTTTTACTTGAATAAATGGAAAAAATTTTTAAATTTAAAAATAAATAAATTCTTCATTAAAAAATTCTTTTTGAGGACCTTTTTACAATTTAAATTTTAAGCGGCAAAGCCACGAGCTTAAGTTTTTATCTGGTAAATATATAATTTTTCCTTTTTATCATTTTTCCAGCAAAAATTTAAGCAATATAGTATTAATTTCGCCACCAGGAAATTTTTTATTATTTTTTCTTTTATGTTAATTTTTGTTATTAACTATTTAATTTTTGTAAGGATTCGATGACACCAAGTGTATTGCGAATAAATTGCAGTTACCATAGTAACTGGATGAAGCCACACCCCGCCTCTACTGCACAACGCCACACGTATTATTATCGATCCACGATGTGTGTTGGTAACTAAAATAAAATTTAACACCATTGTTATCTCTCTGTGATATATAGAGCAAAATCAAGAAAGGAAAAAAATGAGTGATGAAGATTTTGACGATTTCATGTTAAAGGTGGACAAAGTTGGTAGGTTTCTGCAATTAAATTAAATTATTTATTAAATTAAAAATATTTTCGTAGGAGATCTTGTAAAGAAGCTGAAAGAGGCGAGTGCTTCTGATTCGAAGGCGATGCAAGAGGCGGACAAATATTTGAAAAAGCTCGAAAGCGAAAGGACAAAGATCAACGTCAAACCGAACAACAACGCAAAAAATAATGACGGTCAAAATTCGAACGCCGAACAGCTGGACAATCGGAAAGACAGTGGAAATCTCCATACCTTGTCACCTGGTAAATAATAATTTAAAATGTTCCAAAGGAAAAAAAAAATTGATTTAAATTTTAGAGGAGTTCATGAGAAAGGTCAACGAAGACGCGGAGAAACGAGAGGCTGAGCGGAGAGATCGAAAGGCCGTTTCCGACACCTACAAAAAAGAAGCAAACGTCGCTTTTCGATCTGGAGATTATTTGAAGGCCCTTCTTCTATACAATAAAGTAAACAAAATTATAATTAATAAAAATAAATATTTTAAGAAAAAAAATTTAATTTAATTTTGGTAAAATGAAAAAATTTTCTGCAGGCCATCGATGAAGTTCGGGACAGTTGCGTTTTGTACACCAACCGAGCCCTGACCAACCTGCACTTGGAATGTTACACGAAAGTGCTGGAGGATTGCAAGTCGGCCCTTCGAGTCAACCCGGCCAGTCTCAAAGCCTTGGTCTACAAAGCCCGAGCCCACAAAGCCCTGGGCCAAATTGAACTGGCCCAAGCCTGCACCCAGGAGGCCGTCAACCTGCACCCCAACCACAAGGCCTTCATCAGGCACGCCGTCCTCAAGGACTCGATCGCGGATCAAAAAAAGTCAAAGTAGATTTTTATTTCTAGGGTGTTAAGTTTTGTGTGAAATAAAATATGCCGTTTTGTTAAGTATCAAAATTAGAAATTGACGGAAGTCTCTTTTATTTTCTTGGGCTACTTTTTTCTCGTCCTTGGTTGTACAAGAGTACGGATGTGGAAAATCAGTCACCAGTATTTTTTTTTCGTTTCAGCAGAATATATGGCAAGCCAGTGCCATTCTGCGCGTTTTGCTTTGAACATTAATTCAAATACAACATGGCACTAAAAATTACAAAGTAGTCTTCTTTCTTGAGATCATTTTTGAATACACCTGTTGGGAAGCGAGAGGAAATCGGATGAGATTAAGTGGCAGGAACAAAATTAATACACAAAAATTCATGCAAATTGCTCCAATAAAATAAATAAACCGTTCATCGTGCAAAATAGGATTTAGGAGTCCAAAAATTTAAAATTAAAACAATTTGCTGGAAATGCCTAAAATCAAGCGTTTTAAAAAAGAAGAAACTTGTCTTTCAAGAAAATAACAAGCAAAATTTTTATAAAATGACATGTTTGAGGTCAAGCCTCACTCAGGCAGGGATTTAAAGTGAGATCCGTAGGATAAAATTGGGTTCAAAAATACTTATATAAAATTTATAACAATTGTTTTGCTCATTTTTGCGGCATAAAATAGTTAGTTTAAAATCTACATTACGCCATTTGCAGCAAAACAATCGCAGGAGTAATTTGACAATTATATATTTACCTCCATTCCAAGATGACCACCTAAAATTTACAGCAGTAAAATTGTACAGAATTTATAAAATTTCACAGAGTAGTAATTTCATTTTGGATAGACAAACAACCAACACAATGCATATAAAAGTATCACAGATTCTGTCAACACTGGAAAATAACTGCAGCGTTTGGCTACAAAAGTTGAGAAATGAATGGTTCAGAGTAATCAACAAATTTGCTCAAGGCTGCAATTAATGGGGCTTTTAAAAAAAAAAATCAATAAATGCATTCCTCTTGCCCCATTAATTTCTCCACCTTTTACACCAAAGGTAATCATAAATTTTTAACACATAATCATTTATTTATATTTTAAGTTTCTCGCTATGTTAGTTAGCGGGCTTACATTAATTGTGTATATCTGCTCATCAACAAATATCCACTTGTTGTTGCTACCGTAATGCTCACGAGATAAGAATTCAACTGGATTCGCAAGTAACTGTGTTTTGTAAATTGACAATCGCTTGAATTAATCAGCGTGCGTTAAATGGATCAAAAGAAAGGAACGTCCATTTTGCAGATCTTGGCTCAAATCATGATATTCGGAAAAAAAAGAAATATTTTACCACAAAATATTAAACAGCAGGCATTTGGCACGAGAGAAATTTTGAAAATTTTCCAAAGATAAAATTTTCATGCAAAATGCCTACATTAAAAATAAAAGATGATAATTTTGGGGCTTCTTGTGAATATAAATGTCTACAAAATAAAGTGTGTTTTAGAGAACTTTCAGGTCAATGACAGCATTGTCAAGAAGCTTCCTCTGATTGGACATGACAAACTTCTCGGCACCCTCTCTATTGGCAAAAATCATGTGGGCCATCTGTTGACTCCCAGCCTTCTTCATCTTGATAGCCTAAACAAGAAAAATGTAAATAAATATAAGAAAATTCTAGATAAAACTTACTTTCAACCCCATCCCAAGACCCATCTTTTTCAGTGTTTCAGTGGTTGTGGCCAAGGATATGTTTTCGACGGCCACAGTAACTCCACCGGCTATGACTTGCTTAGCCGACTTTGTAATCGCTAGTCGCATTTGCTTGTTTGAGGAAACAAGAGAGACATGGTTTTCTGGCACCTGTAATTTAATAAATAATTAATTTATAAAAAATTAAACTAGAAAACAACATACTTTTGCGAGACCAGCTTGACTGGCCGGCTTAGTAATTATGACCGATTTCTTGATCATCTTGTTTGATAACTGATCGTCTAAGGAAGGTCCTTCGGCACCTCTCAGAACGGACAGCACAGTTTTCCCAGCAACGTCCTTCTTTGTTGTGAAAATTCGCCTGACAGACGAGTCTTCTCCATTCTTACTTAGCGCCTGAATTAAATAAAATCAAAAGTAAAAAAAAACTGTTAAAAAAACAAATAAATATTTACCCTTGAGACTAATGGCTCATCAATTGCAGGATTTCTAGTGACGAGTGAAATCTTTCTCACTGGCAAATCATCTCGGTCGACTTTCTTTATCACTGAAATTTCAATTTGTAAAATTAGGTATAAAATTAAGAGCCTAAAATCAAAACTAACCTTTTATTTTGGGCTTCAAGATAACTTTGGCTGCTTCATTAGCATTGTCCTGAGGAAATATGTTGACTTTTGTTGGTTCTCTCGATGGACCGGCTGCTGCTGAACTCGGAACTGCCGGACTTTTCTTCTCGGGCGATGCAACGACGTTGTCTCCGTCCCTCTTCTTCTTCTCGATTTCCAGTTTCCTCTTGATGGCTTTCATTTTCAACACGGTTTCTCTTTCTTGCTTCTGCTTCTCGATGGCTTGCAGGTAGGCCGTCTCCTCCGGATTTGCAGGTTTGCGTGGAGGCGGACTCGATTCTCTTTTCCGAATTGGTGGAGGAGGCGAGTACTGAAGTAGAAATCAAAATTATTATTTGTGTTCAAAATTATTAATTAATTAATTGTTCACCTGTCGACTGGCTGGTTTTCGAATTGGCTCAGGCGTGAGTCGTCTTGCTGGAGGTCTCCGCAAGTCATCTCGGTACCTACGCGGTGGACTGTAGGATCTGGACCGAGACCTCGACCTTCTGCGGTAGCGGTCATAGTATGGAGACCTTGAACGGGACCGTCTTCTTTCCAACCTCTCTGAAAAAATTAATCAAAATCCAAATTAAATAAGAAAAAAAATCTTTTGAAAGTCAAATAAAATCCTTTGCAAGTGGACGAACAGCACCATCTGCAGGAGAGAAAATAAACTAAGCAGACCGTAATCAATGCAAAAGCTCTGATCATATGTTTTATATTTTGGTGTGCGTTTCTGGCTCTACTGATCGCTCCACGGCAAAGATTTGGATCAAAATCAGACAAGCAAGACCCTTTCCCAAAACCGAAATGGCAAGAAAGTGCAAAAAATTGACTCCTTGTCTACATTAGGGTGAGATTTTGAAACAGTTGCGTCATCTTTCTTTGACAAACCATAAAAATAAACTTAAAAATTTAGAATTTAATTTGATTCCACTTTTATGCAATGTAGCGGACGTGAGATGCGTTTGTGCACGGCAGCAGCGTGCGCCACCTCCAGAGGCCTCAACACCTGGAGGCGGTCCCTGGAGAAGTTCGAGTGGCTGGACAAGGAGGCGCCGAGATTCTCCCTGAGCGGGTCTCAGGTTCGAGTCCTTCGATCCCCAGCCGAGTTCTACGAGACGCTGATCGAAAGATGCCAAGGCGCCGTCCACAGGGTCACCCTAGCCTCCCTGTACCTGGGCACAGGACCTCTGGCGACCCAGTTGGCCAGCACCCTGGACTCGAGGCTGACAGAGTTGCCGACCCTTCGACTCAGGGTGCTGCTCGACTTCTCAAGAGCGTCCAGGGGAGAGGTCAACTCGCGAACCCTGCTTCTGCCCCTGACGGCCAAGGGTGGAAAGGTGGCTCTCTACCACAGCCCTGAGCTGCGCGGAATCGTTCGAAAATTGCTACCCCAAGTAAATATCCTGCCAAATAATTAATTAGATTTAAATTAAATATTTGATTTAGCGTTGGAATGAGGTTGTTGGTCTTCAGCACATGAAAATCTACCTCTTCGACAACAGCGTGATCGTGAGTGGGGCCAACCTGAGCGACGACTACTTCACCAACAGACAGGACAGGTATGTCCTCATCAACGACTGCCCCGCACTGTCCGATTTCCTGGACGGCCTTGCAAGCACGGTGGCTGATTTTTCCCTGCAGCTAACAAATGACAACAACACAGTTTTGGATGCGAATTGGAAATTTCACCCTTTCCAGGTAAATTCCTAATAAAATTATAATTCAGCTTATTAATAAATTTCAAATTTCAGTCATCAAAGGCCAAATTCGTGAGTGCGGCTGGCAATCACGTTTCCCAATATTATCAGCAGTGGGTGAACCGGAAATCAGAAACCACCGACGACACCGTGATCTACCCCCTCATTGAGATGAGACAATTAGGGGTGGGAAACGACAGCCGCGTCACCCAAAGACTGATCGCCTCGGCGCCTGCAGGAGCGGCCATCACCCTTTCCACAGGCTACTTCAACCTGACGGACGACTACTCTAAATGTGTGATTGATTCTGGGGCCGAGTTTGATGTGCTGATGGCCCACCCCTCTGCGAACGGCTTTCTCGGAGCCAGAGGAGCGGCCGGCGGCATTCCACACGCCTACACCCTTCTGGCGCACCGATTTCAACGAAAATTGGCATCCCTCGGTCACCAGGTTGGAATTTTATTAGAATTTTTTTTAACTAAATAAAATTGAATTTGATTTCAGATGAGGGTACGACTTCGGGAGTACCAGCGGCAGGGGTGGACGTACCACGCCAAAGGGTTGTGGTACCAGAACAGTCTCGAGGAACAACCTGAATTGACCCTGGTGGGGTCGCCGAATTTCGGGGAAAGGTCAACAGTGCGAGACTTGGAGTTGCAACTGGCCGTGGTGACGACGCACAAAGGGCTGAGGTCACAGTTGGCCGAGGAAGTGCACGACTTGAAAAAGGGCACATCCCTCTTCCCAGAGGACTTGAACACGGCGCAACGGAGCCCACCCCTTTGGGTCAGACTAGTTGTGTTTTTGTGCAAGAAGTTCTTTTAAATACGACTTAATAAAATATAAACAAACAAATGGAGTAAAACATATCTGGTCTTTTCTTAAAACTATAAAAATGGTGAACTGACCTGTTAGGAAGATGGAGGGCCTGAAGTCTTCTTTCATGGGTGGAGGAAGAAGAGTTGGTTGAGCTGCATAGACTGGGGGTGGAGGCCCACTGTAGTCATCATAGTACGGAGGTTGATGTCCCTAAGAATCATAAAATTGTATTCAAGTTATAAAATTAAAAAAATCCTTTCCAACTCACCATCGGAGGCATTTGCCCTTGCATTTGGTATGGCGGTTGACCACTGGGAGGAGGCGGATAGTTGAGTTGCGAAGGCGGCGGTTGATACTGCTGCAGTGGAGGCGGTTGCGAGTATGGGGGTGGTTGGTGAGGGGGCGGCTGCTGATAGGGTGCCGGGGGATACTGCTGAGGAGGCAGTGGCCGATGCTGCGGTGGCCCAGGAAATGGGCCTCGGTGCGGCGGTGGTCCTGGGTAGGGTGGCTGCTGCTGAGGAGGCGGTCCCTGGAGCAGAGGGGGGCGCTGCGGAGGTGGCCGATGTGGCGGCAGAAAGTCCTGGGGATGTTGCCCATGTTGACGATTGGGGAAGTACGGCTCTGGTTGGCCCCAGTCTTGTGGCGGAGGTGGCCTGTGCTGAGGGGGTGGATTGTACGGAGGAGGTTGGTCCAGGTATGGCCTTTGAGGCTGTGTTGGAACAGATGTTAAATTTAATTTTTAAATTTAAGCAATTTTTTCTTACCTCGTGATACTGGGGCGGAGGAGGTAGCAGTGGTGGATTGTATGGCTGGTAGCCTGGTCCAGGTGGTGGAGGATTATTCACCAATGGCGGTGGAAACTTCCGATGCGGCTCCTCTGGCTCAGGGTAGTGAGAGGCTGAATTGAAATTTATATTTAATTAAATACATCATAAAAAACTGCTTCAATTCGTCTTACGCGTGCTAAGCAGAGGTCTGGGCCCTTTGAAGTGCGGGTTTATTAATATTTTGGTAGGTGCTGATGACGGAGCATTCAACAGCGGAGGAGGGTGTTCCTGAAATCTCATGCCATCGTCGCCCAAACTCCTGAGATTTCCATTCATTCCAAATCCACCTCTCCCTCTTCCACTAAACAGAATTTAATTTGGTTAATATATATTCAATTTTTAATAATGTAAGCTTTTTATTACCGGAAACCACCTCTGTGGAAAAACCGCCCCCCTCTGCGGCCGCCTCTTCCACGATTTTGGAAATTCAGAGGCCGCCTATTGTTATTATTTACATTTTCATTTTCAGGAACCTCGACTTGATCCAGAGTGTCTGGAATGTCCTCTCGCGGGCGAGCTGCTTGAATATTTGGAGCTCGTTCTGAGAGAAATCGACCTCTGCCCTCATTGTCGTCGTCGTCTTCCTCTTCTTCCCAATCGTCCTCAGTTTTGCTCAAAGAGCGCTGCAATATTCGCTCGCGAGCATCAACTACTTGACTGTTTTTTGAACCCTAAGAGAGAAACAGATTGTGAGCAACATTTTATAGATTTATAGAATTTTAGTATAATAAACCTGGTCATCGGCTAACAAGGCTTCTTCGTCTTCCTCGCAAACTTCATAATCCAGATCCCCATCACTATTTAAAACGTCATCCCTGGTAAATTTAAGTTTGGTTAATAAAACTGAACAGCAACTATCAAGGGAAACGTTGTTTGTTTCCGATCTTTCATTGATTTTTGTGCGTCGTTAAAAATGCTTGAATTCAACTCACTCAAAATCGGACATAATTGCTAGAATTACGCTGCTTGTGTCACTTGATCGTTGAAAAGTTCATTTAACAATCCATTTCGTTTAAAATTAGTGGTTAATAGATTCCTAAAACGATTTGGGGATAAAGTGCATCACAAAATCTTGTAGAAATTTGTTGTTCTCGTTTATTTACAACTCGTCTAGTAAAAGCAACATGGCGGCGTGTTACGCGTTCGTGATTGGCCTGGCGGTGTTTGAAATTTGAATAAGAGCGGGAAACGTTTAAGCTATGGAAGAAATTAAAAAAAGTATTTCTTTATTATTAGTTTTTAGGCTTTACAATTAAATAATAATAAAAATCAAGTAAATCTCTTTATGCGCAGAAAATTTTATTCATACAAAAAATAAATTTAGATTTTTACATCCTAAATTTATAAATACAATATTATAGCCTCAACGTCAGATTCATTTTTATATTTTTTAAGATTTTCTTGTGAAAAGCATTATTTAGTATTTCATACCAAGGCTAAAAAGCATCTAAACCCAAATGGTTTATATTTTTCAAAATTGTCAAAACTTCTGTAACCTATTAGCGATCCTTGAATAAAATTGACCACTTCAAGATTCAAACTGACGCAAAATATTTACAGACTGTTGTTTGCTAGTCTGAGACAAGTGCTAATTAATTATAAATTTGGTACGATACAAGTCTTACACTGAAAATAACTTAAAAGATTGACATTATAAATTCAAATTTTTAACAAACATAGTGAATTGTTATTTGGCTTGAGAGGATCAGTCAGTGGTTTTGCTGTCGGAGACCAGAGGGAAGCGAACAACACGCAATTGTGAGCCGTAGTCACACACCACTGAATCGTGCACTGTGATCAAATGTTGCACAAAGACACCAGTGGAGGCCGCCACACCTAAACGGACAGCCCTGATGGGTTCGCCACGGCGCACATCCCAAACTAAGAGAGAATCTTGTTTGCTCGTAATCAGCAGGTTGTGTGTGAGCATAACCATGCTGCAACAGTACGACTGGGGCTGCGGAAAAGAAATTCATTATAAGCAATTTTTTTTAAGTGTCATCAATAAACTAACAATAGAAATTGTGTTCAGCAAATGGCCCTGGAATCTCTCCCACACACACAGTTTATCGTCCACTCCGAGACTGAGAACATAACTAGCAGAGTAGGCCAACGATTGAATGCTGCCGTCATGAGCCTGAATGCTGTACATGCAGGCGCCTGAAAACATCCAAAATATTGAAGTTTTGGCAAGAATTATTTCAATAAGCATGCCTGTCAGCAAATCCCAAACGCAGAGCATTCCGTCTTGACTTCCACTTCCGGACATCATGGGTGAAATCTTGTCGATGAACAAAGCAGTGATGGGGCCACAGTGGCCGTGAAGGGTGAAAAGAGGGAGTTGGTCCTCCAATCGATACACCTGTGTTAATTATTGTTACTTGAATTGGTTCAAAACTTAATAATTTAAATTTACTCTCAGAGTGTGATCCTGACTGCCACTCAGTACTCGAGCACCTTCCGAGTCGAGCACAGTAATTGGCTGTTGGTGGGCTCGGACGGTGGCCAATTTCTGGAAGCAAACTTCTTCTGAAATACCTCCAGACACAGATGCTTCCCAATCCATCGAGCCAGCACTTCCAGTCCTTATATGAGCTAAAGAAGCAAAACTTTAGAACAAAATTATTCACTCATATATTAATTACTTCTTCTAAAAGATGAAAAACCCCAACTGTCTCTTTTTCCTTTTCTATAACTGTCTATCTCTAGAAAATCGATGCATCCATTCAACTTGGCAACCACAACACGGTTACCAATAATTTTGAGGGAAGTTGATCCAATCCCATTTGGATCTTCCATCAAACACTGAAAAATAATTTTAGAACGATTCTAGTACAGTTAAAAAATTAACTACCTTAAACTTTCCAGTGGTAGCCTCCCAAAGCTCCAGTCTTCCATTTGCACAGCCAATCACAATTTGATTGGATTGGCAGTCGATGCACCAAATCGGAGGAGGCTCTAGAGTGGACGCAAGTGGAGGCTCAAGGTGGACGTTTTCAGGAGTGACAACTTCAGCTTCGTTGGAAATATGGTGCATTCCTGTTGGACGTTCTTCCTCGAAGGAATGGTACCTGCCAAAATCATAGCCACTCGGAGAAGAGGCCATTGTGTCTGCAAATGAAGATAACTTTTGTAGAAAGCCAAAATGATATAGGTTTAGGGACGTACCAGTGGATTTGGAGGATGTAAAGTTGATGTTAATTGAACCGGGAATTTCAGTCTTTGAGTAAAGGTTTGAAGTCGAATCTCTAATTTGATACCAATCCAAGTCCCCAGAATTTCTGGCTGATTGGTGTGGCAAATTCTCTTTGTTCAAAACGTACCTATTAATTTAAACGTTTAAAATAAATGCGTCTTTTAATACTTAAGGCAAAAATACCTGGAGTCCTCATTATCCAAATTGTACAGATTCGAGTTGCTCCTCCGGCCTTGTGATGGTGGAGAGCCGGATTCATAGTCGGAATAAGGCAGATCGTCTAGGTCTTGATCGCTTGCATATCTTGGCTTCAGAGGTGTGCAGAAAAATCTGAAGAAAACATTATAATTAAAAAAATATGACCAACTTTTCAATTTTTAAAATGCACCTTCTCCTATTGATGACAGCCATGCACTCCCCACTGAATACATTCCACGACCGCACTTCTCCCGAAAGACAAGTGCTGGCAACAACAGATCCGTCTGTGGTGAGGCATTCGATCTGCTGAGGATGCCCTTCCAAAACTACAGGCATCGATTCCAAGACAACCTGGGTGCTCGAGTCTGAGCACACAGATTCTCCACTGGCCCAACTTGTTCGCCACTCTGCATAGTTTCTTGTGCAAACACATCTGGGAAAAATTCACATTTAAATATAATTTTTATACTGAAACTGCTTCATTGATCTACCTGTATAGCACTATAAGGAAATAAGCCACTACGAGGACGCTAATTATGCAGAGAACTGCAGTGAGAAAGAGCTCCATTGGAGACTGCGGAACATAGGGCACTTCCGACATTGACGGTTGCGAATCCACACTCATTGCATCAATGTTGCCTTGGGCACCTGTTCAAGACAGCCACTACATATTTCTAAAAGTTTTTAAATAAAAGCCATACCTGCAAAGTCGAGTGGATCGAGAGCTGCAGCCAGCGCTTGCCACTGGCTTTGGACGGGCACTCCTTTCTCGTTGGGATTTCTAAGTATTTTTGCTTGTTCTGGAGAAACTGCAACCGAGACTGTGATGGGAGGCAAAATGCTGAGATAGTGCCCAGCGGTGGAAATGTTGTAAAGTCGAAGAATCGAAGCCCAGTGGTGCTGCGAGAGCATCCTCCAAGGCCCCAAACCAGAATGGACCAGTTTTAATAAATCATCCATGTGCTGACTTTCCCAGGAGGACAGATTCATCATAATCGGTGACAGGTTGTTCGTTTGGGAAGGAGCTATTAAAAAATTGAATGAAATGGTTTTTGTCGGAAATTAAAAAAAAAAATTGGCCTACCTCCAGAATTTGCTTTGGTTCGGGAACCGCTGCTCGTCTTGGCTGAATTTTTTGCTGTCCCGTTTCTGTTCACCTCGGCCAGCTTTTGCACAAGCTGAGCGTTGTAGGCAATCATCCCAATCCAAACAACCATACAAATCATAAAGGCTCGCTGGAAAATTCTAGTTCTCGTCCAAAAGTGCACAAGTCGTAATCTTTTAGGCACGGAGGCGCTCTTTCCAGCAGCAGACGGATTTTGCGGTGAAAACGCTACAATATTGGTGGGATAGAGGCCGGCAGTGCTCAGTCTGGGATGAGACTTGGACCGAGACAGACGAGACCCTGACGAAAGATCAAGGTCGTAGGGCTGTCGTTGAAGAGATTTCAAAGCCGGTTCGGACAACTCTGATCGGCGGATGTCAATTGCCAAAACCTGCACGCAGAAATTAATAAACCATAGACACTATTTAAAAAAATGTAAAACTCACAGCTGAATAGAAGAACATGTGAAGAAAGAAGTCTGCGATGAGTCCGACAACAGCAAAAATGCAAAACTCTTGTATCGCAGGAACAAACGTTAGCAATCCAATGGTGAGAATGGTGACTTCGGTGAGGAGATTCTTTGTGATATTCCAACCTTCCTTGCTTAAGCCTTGAGCAACCCGGATTTTCACATCTAGGTGAGCCTGCGTCGAAATGATCGACTTCGTAAGAATCAGGACGTTTTCCAGTCCGACAGCAACCACAACATAAGGAAAGACTTCCTTGCCATCCAAAGAGAGTCTCAAACCGAAAAAGAAGCACAGGCCAACGGCCATTGCCAAAGAAGAGGCCACTGTGATCACTGCACTAAAAGCTATGCCAACCTACAAGAAAATAAATTGAGATAAAACCAAAAATACAACCATTGTAAAAATCACCTTTGATTTCACAAAGTCCATCTTCCTAAGGGAGAAGTAAACGTAGAAAAAGAGAGCGGCGTAGGTCACTAGAAGAGGCACAAATTCTCGATAGTTGATTTCTCCTGGGTAGTAAATGTGCCAGATTTCTTGAGGCCGAGCTGAGCTCAAGTTTTGTGAGTAAAGTGGGTAGATTCCCATCAACATTTCTTTCAGTCCGTCGATGAATCTAAAATTGTTTTTTATTTTAGTTTCAACATATCTAAACTTTTGATTTTTTGACTTACTGCTGATCATAATCTTGAAAAACGATAGTGACAGCGTACTGCAGAAATCGCTGTCTTGACCTTAGAGGGTAGCGCTTGATGCCCGTGTCTTGCATGTTCATGCCGAAGAGCATCTCAGGCAGACTGACCTTGCCCTTCTGAAGATTCTGGTGTGAGAAGATGGTGCCGAGAATGTTTGCGTCATCCTGGAAAGATGCTCGGTTGTTTTGCCACAGGTTTGCAGGCGACAGCACCAAGCAGTTGTACTCGGGGAATTTAATTTTGCCACCAATTTTTTCTTTGACAGCTTCGATGTGGAGACACAAATTTCCCAACATCTGACTACTGGAATTACATCAATTAAATTTCCACAAAAAATTTCAAACGTCATATATTTACTTGGCGTGATTTTGGTAGTTTTGAATTGCTTCTATGATATGAAAGACTCCTTCCAGTGGTGCCCTAAATGCATCAGTCAAAATCAGTTCGTTACTCCATGGCACAACAGCACTTTTAACAACAACCTGCAAATATAATGTTAAAATTTAATTCACAATTCATTTCGGCACAGATAAATTTAATATACTTGTTGAACATAACAGAGAGGAGAGTTAGAGAACCATCTGGGCGGGACATCAAAGTGGCCGGTTTGGTTCTGGTGGGTGTGATTTGAGACGAAAGTCCTGTATTGCTGGGGTACATTGCCTGGCAATGGTATGCTAGTCAAGGGGTAACTGGAATTACAATTATTAAAATAAAAAAAATTAACAAAAATTCAAATTACTGACCAACAAGCTAGAATAATGGCGACGGCAAATATCACAACTGTGTAGGGATGGCTGGCAATGAAGAGACCATGTGAGTAGTAAAGTTGAGCTACCCTGTCAGGCAACCCGGCAGCCAAACCCCTCTTAGGGGCAGCTGCTGTTGCTGACGACGATTCCGAGGCCAAGTTGTTCATGTTACAGCGCTCATGATAACCCTGGTAAAAATGATAAGTTATTATTAATAGGTTCTAGCAATAAAATTTGAAATTGCGTTTGAATTTATACACATGCAATGTGATTCTCAAACAAAAGCTTTTCATTTTAAATTTTTCATGAAGGTTGTGAATTTTTGTCTAAACAAAATTAAAAAATTAGCAAACGCAGTTTCAAGGAAATTTATTAAATTAAATTTCATAATACCTCCTTTTTTTATAAGCATAGCAGGGCGCTGAATAAAAAACTAGAGCAGCAAAGTGAAACCTCGCCGCGCAGTTTACCGTGAAGCTCTGTTGTGATTTTGCAGGAAAATTCGCTCTGGTCAACGACGAATCGGCACCAAATTTGGCTTGGACAAAGGCAAGACGTCGCCAAGTGATCTCGCACTTGCAAATTGCCCAAGCAGACCCGTGAAGGCCACGCAAATTGAAGGCAAATTTAATAAATAATTGCAGTCTTTTCGTGTGTTTGGTATTTATCCTCGAGTCCGACGATGGCCAAGGGGTAAAATCACATGCATGGGCCACGTCTTCAAGGAGGTCGCCTTGACCGCAAACAATTTTAATTTAAAAAAACCGGTTTGTTAATCAATTTATGAAGTTCTTTCTATAATTAAACTCTATAAATTTGTAAACTTCTATGAATGTAAAGATAATTAAGTAGTTTTAATTTATTTTAGTTTAATTAGAAGAAAAACAATCTTATTTTGGAGTTAAATAGCCAAGTGCCATGATTAGAATTACCGGTTAGTTAAAATATTTTAAACCGTAACTGTTTCGTAGAAAACCGACTACAATTCGCTGCAAATTGCAAAAATCAGGCTTGTCGTTTACTGACAGATAGCGTTAATTTTGATCAAATTGCAGCACCAATTAATTTAGGGCACTACCCGATTGCATCTGATGGCGTACGGTGGACCAAACTACAATAGACAAGGCTATTCGGACTTCACTAGGTATTTTTCTCATTTTTTTTTTATTAGGTCAAACGTTTTCACATTTTATGTAATTTTTCAGCAACGGCCAGCAGTTCAACACGTTTACATTTCACAACAGCCAGGGTCAGCTGCAGCCAGCCCAGCCAGCATTGCTGGGCAGGCCTCCGTGGATTCAGGAATGGGAGTATTATGACCAAAATGCCCTGGCTGCCCAAGGTGGCACCTGGACACAGCAGTCGAACAATTATCCACAACGCCAGTCTAGAATCCAAAGAGGCAATACTCATAGGCAGTTTCAACGTGCTTTCAACCAACCCCAGTTCAGTGGACATCGGGACAGGCAGCCAAACCAGACAGGCCAAAATGACCAGTGGCCATCACCAGAACAATATCAAAATGGCCCAGCGCCTGCAAACAATCCATCCGAAGAGAGAAATGTTCCAGAAAGAACCAGCGATAATTTAGAGTATTTTCATTGGAAATTTTTTTATTGGATTGAAAATATTAAATTTTTTAATCAAGGGATGGTTCGAGAAGCAAAAGAGGCAGAAATCAGTCCAGAGGTAGAGGACGAGTAAAACCTGGAATGCGGTGGAGTCGAGACGGAGAAAGAGAGCCAAGATATGAAGATAGAAAGTCTGACTTTGGAGGCAGCTCAAGGACTGATCAATTCAAGTCAACTTCAAAAGAGCCTGCGGATAATATGGCTGGTGTTTGTCCCCAGGAAAAGGAAATTAAACCTCTGAAAATTACTTCAAAGACTAATGGTCTGATAATTTTTGTTTCAAGTATTTTTTTCTACTCATTATTGTTTTGATGATACAGATCCTCAGTTCAAGTCACAAAGGGAGTTCCTAATGTACCATATGAGAGCTGAGAAACTGGAGTGCATGGTTTGTTACGACACAATCAAGCACAAGAATCCCATATGGAGTTGCTCAAACTGCTACAACATTTTCCACATTTGGTGTGTTCAGAAGTGGTCCAGAACCGTCGAAGGTAAATTCATCAATTTAATGCAAAAATTAATTTATTAATTATAAATTATATCAGATTCTGATGGTTGGCGCTGCCCTGGATGCAATCAAGGATTTCGAGAACCACCAGAAAAATCCTGCTTCTGCGGAAAAACGCGTCAGCAAGCAAAAGACATGAATTTAAAGAGCTACAGCAGCAAGCACTGTTGTGACGAGATTTGCTACAGAAATAAACCCAAGGTTGGCATTCATGATTGCAACCACCCTTGTGGTGAGCTTTGCCACCCTGGACCCTGTCCTCCATGTGAGGGAATGGCTTTGAGGTGAATAAAAATCTAAACTCGCCAAGAAGCATTTCTAATTTGTATTTTCAACAGAAAATGCCCGTGTGGCAAGAAAACGGCCTCGGTGAAATGCACCTCAGACTCTCAATTTCTCTGTGATAGTACTTGTGACAAATTGCTCTCCTGCGGCAGACACAATTGCCAACTGGAGTGCCATGTTGGTTCTTGTGGAGAGTGTCTTGAAGCTATTGATCTAGGTATTTGATTTCAAATCAGTTTTAAACAAATTGAGTAATAAATTTTTTCTAGAGTGCATGTGTGGTCGAACGAAGGAAGAAGTCCTTTGCAAGGATGCGCCGAAAGGCGATATTAAAAACTATTCTTGCAAGCAGGCTTGTGGCAAAGATTTGGAGTGCGGCAATCACAAGTGCAAAGAGGAGTGCCACTCTGGTGATTGTCCACCATGCCCTTTGTTGCCTGAGGTAACTATAATTTCTTGAGTTCTTCATCGGTTGTCATTTTCATCCTTTGTCATTTCTAGATAAATACAACTTGTCAATGTGGCAAAGTGTCACAGAAAGCATTGCTTTTGACTCCCAGGGAGTCTTGCCTTGATCCAGTGCCTCAGTGTCCCAATAGATGCAACTTGCCTTCACCATGTGGTAAAATGTCACGGACATTTAAATTGCTTTAATTGACAATCTACTCTTGTTAGGCCACAATTGCCCTGAGAAATGCCATGCTGGTCAATGTCCTGTCTGCAAACTGCAGTCGCAGACACACTGCGCTTGTGGATCGTCCAAGAAAATGGTTCTTTGTTCTGTTTTGGCCTTTGAACCAGTGAGATGCAACAAGAAGTGCCCCAAGGTATTTTATAGTAAAATATTCATTCTTTTAAAATTAACAGTTTTGTTTCAGTGGCTTTCATGCCTTCGTCACAAATGCCACGACATTTGTTGCTGTCGGGAATCACACGAGTGCCTTCAAATATGCAACAAGTCCCTTAATTGCGGCAGGCACAGGTGTGACCAGCTGTGTCACAGTGATAGATGTCCTCCTTGTCTTTTGGCCAGTAAGAAAGACGCACTTTGTGAATAATTTGTTTTATTGTCAAATGATTTTTTAAAGGTTTTGATGAGCTGCGGTGCGAGTGTGGCACCGAAATTTTGTACCCTCCAATTCCTTGCGGCACGAAGCCACCAATGTGCAACAGGCCCTGCAAGAGAAGTCATCCTTGTGGCCACAACAGCCACAACTGCCACAGTGAACCAGAATGTCCTCCGTGCACAGTTCCTGTCAAAAAGTGGTGCATGGGAAAGCACAAGGTAGAATTTTGAATTAATTGAAATTGCTGGTGTCACGATAAATAGTTCGAAGATAAAATATTACATTGCTGATCAAATTAAATGTTTAAATCAGTTAAATTTTATTTGTTTAAGCTTAAATTGCGAATTCTAAAATAAGCCATGACACAAGGGCCACTACTTTAGACTTGATTTTTTTTCTTTTTTATTATTTGCCTACCATTTTTTTTCTAAATTGATTTTTATTCTGTAAATAGGAGGTGTATCCAGTCTTGTGCAACCAAGAGTTTGTGTCTTGCCACCTTCTGTGCAGCAAACCTTTGGAATGTGGGCAGCACAATTGCATCAAGAAGTGTCATGCTGGTCCTTGTCTGAACGAAAAGTGCACCCAAGCCTGCACAAAGCAAAGACCCGAATGTGGTCACTCCTGCAATTCTCCATGTCATGGACCTGCTTCCTGTCCCGACTCCAAATGCATGTTTGAGGTAATTTTAGCCAAATTTATTTTTACTCTAAATTTAAGTAAATTTACAATTTTTTTTTTATTTAGCTGAAAGTCACTTGTGAATGTAAAACCCGGAGTGAAATGCGTCCCTGCCATCAGCAGCTGGAGGCCTACAAGAAGAAAGTCCAGATGGACGCCCTGGTCGAAAACATGTCTGATTTGATGAAAGGCCAGAAAGTCTCTTTGCCAGGAGCCGTTTCCAACGTACCCTTGGCGCATTGGACTTCTGTTGTTGGGCTTGAATGCGACCACGAATGCAACATCAAAAGGCGGAACGAACGTGCCTTCGTCGGTCTGCAAATCGTTAATCCAGACCTTGGTCAAAAGCTCAAGCTAGAGTATCCAATTTCCTTGCTCAATTGGGTGGCTCAAGACAAGGAGTTTGTCAAAGAGGTGCACAACATCCTTGCCGATTTGGTCTATCAAACTCAGCAAGTAAGTTTTGTAATTTTGCAAAAAGAAAATGGTAATAATTGTTTTTAAACAAAAAATTTTTTAGGGACCTCAAAGATTCAGACTGCACAGTTTTGGCGTCATGAATCAAATGAAGCGCAAATTCATTCATGAATACGCGCCTTACTTTGGCTTGCAATCAAAGTCAATTGACAAAAGGCATTCCAGAAGTGTGGATGTAACTGGCGAGAAAAACAATGTAATAAAATTTATTTAAAACAAGACATTTTTACTAAATTTTAAACATTTTCCAGTGTTGGTTGCCAAGCATCAGTCTGCACGAAATGGTCGAAAGGAAACTGACCCACTCAAGCTCAAAGTGAGTACCAATTTTCCTAACTTCCTTTGTCTGTCACTTCCCCGCGCACCTTACCAGTTTTTGGAAATGGGTTTTATTTTTCATTTGCACACCACCCGCTTTTGAAACCAATTTTGAGAAAAATGAAAGTGACAAAGATGCCGTCTTTGTTGAACAGATCGTCGCTAAGCGAGATGAAAAAATTACCTGGGCCGCCAACTGCTCCTCAGGCCAGCTCTCCCTCGTCTTCCTCTACTGTTCTCAGCTACACGCAGGCTCTGGCCGCCAAGAAAAACTGATGATCATTTTTTTCCAATATTCCTTTACATTTGGTCAAATTTAAATTACATATCAGTTTACCTACGTAAAATATAATAATTATGGTGAGATATTTCAGGTCAAATGAACTGCAATTATCTGGGTTGTTACAACAATTTTCTTTATTCCTAATAAATCAAAGTTTCTTTTTCCACATAATCTGCAATCATATTTTTAATTATTAAAATCTTGTTCAAAAAAAAAAAAAAAAAAAAAAATAAAACTTCCAAACCTCACAATTAAAAAATAAATAAATTAAAAATTTATAAAAAATTCCCACACAACCTTTAAACTTCATTTTGAAACACAAGTTTCTATTTAAAACCTTTCAATTTACTTTTAAAATGTTGCAACCATAAAACTCATTTATCTTGAAAAGTTTTAAGAAAATCAAGTAATTTTTTTTCTATAATTTTAATGGAGTTAAAAATTTAAAAATAAACCGCATTTATCTACTTATCATAAGCGCATTAACAAATGCAGAAATTAAATTAAATCCACAGACTAATATAATAATCTAGACTGTCACTAAATTAAAGATATTGCGTTACTGAGCCAAACAACCCGCGCCTGCAGCATTTCAAAGTATGCAACCTGCATGGTACATTTGGCTGGTATTCAGGGAGATTAAAAATTAGGCACACATAACTATTTAATTTGCGCTTAATTATTTACATTTTTGTTATGCAGTTAATTAGTTTTGTATTCATCTTAATAGTTAATGGAGAATTGATTTACTTAAGTAATTAGAACATTACTGCGCCATGATGTGAAAGATTTAATAAAAAAATTATAACAGGCTATTTTAAGAGATATTCAATAAAATTTGATTATTCTCTCTCAACAAAATAATATCCTGGATTTAAAAAAAAATTAATAGACGGATGACGCTAAAAATTTTGAAACGATACATTTTCTTCTCATTCATCTAGTATTTTTTAAATATTAAATTGAAAATATTTCGCAAGTGGAAATAAATGAACAAATTGAAAATTCCACATTTTCTACGTTTTAATGTCAAGTAATTTGTTAGCTAAGCAAATATTCATCATATTCTGAAGATAGAATTAAGTCATATCTTTATTTAACTTAATTTAGGAGGTGAAAACTATCGGCGTTAAGAGAAAAAAAGTCAATTTGAAACCCGGCCAGGCTTCTCAGCATAAAAGTGTTCCGCTGGAGGGTTTTGTTTATACACGTATTTATTATCATTATAAATTTCACATTGAAAGCAATTATTGTCCGAATGAAATGCCGCGTGTGTTTCTTTGATATTATTCAAGCGTTTTCGCTAGAAGCGGCGGCGGCGGCTACACGGCGGCAGTGTTTTTTGTGAGAGAGGCAGCCAGCCGTGTGTTCTTTTTCTCTCTCTTTTACAATATAATGACGCTTGATTATATTACACGCAGGCTGCTCGAGTAAAAGAGTTTGATATCTCGGTGCAGCCATTTTGTTTATGTAATTCCACAAATGACAGGTTTCCCGGCCGGCGAACGCTGCAGGGGCTGAATTATTACGAATTTCCATTTTTAATTCACCCACCCATTTGCTCGACTGGCCGGCGAGAGAGGCACGACCTCCGGCCGGTGCAGCCAACAAACTCAAATTTATACTGGAAATGAAAAACACGCCAATATGGCCGACAATTCACACCAATTAGTCTGCTCTTGACCATTAAATGTTTATTTTTCCCATTCTGTTTTTGCCGTGGGCAGTTCCGAGAGATCTTGGCTCGAATCAAACCTTTGAGAAGGTAAAATAAATTCAGAAAATTTTTCCTTTCATTTTAGTAAGAGCATGTCATTCAAAATTTGTTGCAAACATAATAAAATCATTCAATTTAAAAAAAAAACACGTTCAAGATTTATAACAAGTGCTAAAATTAAATGATCAGTTGCAAATTTAATTATTAGTATCAAGTAATTGTTGCTAATTTATTATATGTGTCGCGTTCTCTGAATTTCATTGTGGTTCGTGAGGATTATCTTCACCGCTCTAGCAAACGGCGAGATTATATAAAATACTCCCACTGCAACGCGAATTACATATAATTTAGTCAATTTGCATTTGAAACATAATTGAAGACTTGCTCTTTGTTGTGTCGAGTATGTGAAAATAATCTTTAGCTTCTCTTCAGAAGTCACTGCACCCAACATTTTCGCATTTAACAAAGGTCCAATTAAATTACGTGTACAAGAAAAAGCTCCACTTTAAACTTATGCATTGACTTGAATAATTGTTGGACACAAAAATAATATAAAATTTACAACATTTCACCTTTGGCCATAATTTGAAATTTCGACCAGCAGTGTCTACATAAACTACATTTAAAATTAGAATATGTCATTAGGGGGTCCTTAATAAATTTTGTATTACTTTTATTTTGGATTGCTACATGAATAAAAATTAAATTAAAATTACACAAATCATTTTAAATGCATCATTTATGTTGCCATATTTTCTTTTTTCGACAAATTTTATTATATAAAGTAAAAAGCATAAAATGAAAAGTTTTGAGAAATTTATGAGGCCTTATTTGACTTATCCCCTTCAGCTAATCAACATCTGTAACGCAACAAAATGTGCTTCTACAATGAACCAGCTAAAAAATGTGCGGTTATTTATTTCAACAATCAGTCAGTTTCTTTAACAGTAATATCGAAACTCTTAAAATCAAATTGATTATAATATTTTATTGTGCATTTAATTATAATTCTGTTGGGATAAATACACATGTTGTGTTTCTGAAAATTGGAGTTTATTATTAAAAATTTGAAAAATATAAAATTAAAATAATTTTTTTAGACAAAATTGACAAAAATTTAAATAAATTTCACTTCAAAATTATCTTATATCAACTCATGGTTTAAAAAAACTATTCTTAAAAAAACTTGTTAAATGCGGCAAAGTGTACCAATTTATTTCAAGTTCATTATACTTTCATATTATATGTAATCTGATCTGCTTAATTTAAAAACATTTCATACATCAAAATAGAAGTACAGATAAAAATATTTTGAATTAAATTGAAATTAATATTCCAGCTTTAATTTCTTATGATGATTCGCGTGAGGAATTTTGACGGGTCATAATAGTGTATTAAAATATGAAAGTAAATTGTTATTTACCCATACTTCCGTGCTTTTCATACAAAAACTCCGCAGACCGCAAATGTAACAAAACGACAAATTAGCGGACGGACCACACATTACCCTGCTTTTTGTCCGTCGCACGAACCCTGCATTCGAACTAATTGACACGCACTTTTGACAAACGTGATTGTCCATTAAATAACAATAATTAAGCGCGTACAATAGAAATGTTGCGCGCCGAGAAGAAAACTGCTGGAACTGACTGGGACATCTGTCGCTCCTGCACAATCACCGGCCTTTTGTTGCGCGCAGTGTCTCTTTCCAACATTTCTCCCTGGTGTGTTTTCACCTAAAATGATACGTTTCCCTTTGTTTGCATAATTTTCAGCTCGGACGGCAGAGCAACTGTATTTTAAGTCCCGAACAATGAAGTTTTAACAGAGCGTTAAATAATGGCCTTTTCATGTAAAAAATATTTCATTCTTTTGAGGAAATTAATAAAAGTCTGGTCTCTTTGATAAAAAGTATTTGTAGAAATAAGCTTTAAATTTTTATGAATTTATTAGCCATAAATATTAATTCGCTGATACTCTGTCGATTTTCCACGGTTAATTTAAAATTCACAAGTCTAAAAGCGAGTATATAAAAAAAAAAAAAACAGAGGAAACACTTTTCGTGCCAACCCAGCAATCTCCTAATAGCCGATTGCACTCTGTCATTTTCAGACATTTCGTTTTTCGTATATCTGAATGATTCAGCTTTTGATTGGTTATGCGATCACAGAACAAATCACTACCGTCAGAACGGAATTCCAAACTACCAAATTTTGTTTTTCTATTGCATTATTAACCAAATAAAACCAAAATAACTATTCTCATTGAATAATATGTCGTGAATAAATTCTTAAAAATCAATAGAATAAAAATTCTTAGAGTAAAAACTTACCAAACAATAATCTATTTTAGATTGAAAATAGAAATATTTGAATGTATGTCTGCTTAGTTTCAAATTTCTAAACTTGCAAAATCAAAACGAATCTATAGGAAAGCAGAATTTTTTATAAAACGCATACAAAGCAAAGCATTTCTGGTTAGGCTGCTTGTCTTCATTTTGATTTCTTTCGATTGCTTTGATAATGAAATTCTTCCTTGATTTTTTTTTTAAAAAATTGCTAGTTTAATATAGTAACGACGTCAATGCAGCTCACGATTTATAATGTAAAAACAGAAGGATAAAAAATATTGACGTTAATTTAAATTATTAAAATTGCTCTGACTCGTTTTAATTTAAGTAAAAACTAAATCTCTAGCAGAAAAAAAAAAATATGACAGGGAGTTAAGAATGAAAGCTTATGTCGCACAAAATTATTTTTTAACTCAAATTTTGAAAGCTGGAATTATTAAATTTACAATTTTTCAATATTTACAAATATTTAGTTGCAAATTGTGTTTATTTAATAAAAATTTGCTCCTTAAAAATGAATCCATTATATTTTAAGTCGCAAAACTTAATCATACTTAATTTCAATGCAAATTTGAAAGCAGACTTTTTATTAGGAGAGAAAATAAATTGTGATTGAATTAAATGGCGGACTACGTAAAACGCCGGTACACGAACTTTTGGTGTTGCTGCTGCCGACCGCATTAATTTTGAAAAAGGAAGTTCCATATAATGAATTTGACCAGCAGCACGAACGATCGTATCAAATTCTACGGTAGATAAAAGAGTTAAAATGGCCGCTTGTGGTGGACGTCGAATTGTGAGCGGCGCATGTGTGTGTTTAGCATTTTATCTGGCGGCGAAAATTATGTCAATTTGCATGGCAAATGAGTGGCCCGAAAGCCATAGGGCTCCGAAATAATGGCAGCCGGCGGCCGAGTGCGTCGAATTAATCCGAAATTAGACTGCGCCGAGCAAATCACAGAGTTCTCTCTCTCTCTCGCACATGAATCGTAATTACAATTATAG